AAACATTAAAAGGGGGGGTGGGGGGTTGCCTCCTCTGTCTGCCCTGTTACATGGTCGAGTGAGGAAAGAGCCAATTTTCTCAGATTTATGAAGCCGAGTGTTTTTCATAATGACACCATAAGGATTTACACGTTGCTTGTCAACTGGGTAACCTCCCTGTCACTTCTCTTCCTTACACAGTGATTAAGAGACAGGGGACACAATGTTGACATAAAGGCTAAGTTGATAATTTACACTCACTGCACAAGAAGGCATTTCACACTGATGGACATATTAATGGCACCGCACACTTACCCTGTCACAATCAAAGAGTTTTAGAGTCTATGCACCCATCCATGTGTGTGTGTGAACAGGGAAATTGTGTAAGCAAAAGGGCACAGGACAAGAAGGGGGAGGAGAGTAAAGGGAAGTCTTCTCACTGTGCCCGTTGTAATAAATCACTTAGTTGCAGAGTATCCCCTAACTTTAGCTGTGTTTGATCTCGATCGCAGAAAGATGGAGGTTTTGAAGTGAAAGAGTCCAGAACTGCAGGTCAGATTCAAGCGTCCCACACAGTGAGACACGGCAATAATTTACACCCCACTGGACAGCACCTAGCATCGGGGAGCCCCAAACCTCCATCTGTACTATCTCAATCAGTGACAGATTGATGGAGCCCCTTTTTCATCCCAAACTGAGGAGATGTCTGAGTGAAGAGCATCTTAAAAATAAACATTGCTGCAGTAGACAGGTCCAAGCACTTCTATGGTGAAAGTAGACTATAGCCACCAGGAATATGGCTGTATCTATAATTTATGGTTAAGATAAAAGCAGGTTATTTTTCCCCTTGAAAGTTGGTGGACAAAGTAAATATTAACATTTCTAAATATGAGAGCCTGATTTAGGTACTGCCTTTATTAAACATTGTCAAGCATGTGGTGATTTACAGCCCAGGTACACAAAGTCTACAGAGTCCTGTCTTTTTATTTTCTTGTAAAATGTGTCCTATTAACTACCAGCTTTAACAACTCATTATCACTACTTTGTGTAAAAAACACAAATGTACAACGCATTGCTCTTAACACTTAAACAGTCCATAAAAGCTTTGTAGACTGCCCCAGTAGATTTTCTGTAAATGTCTTTTTGAAGTTTTTTTTCTCCACAGCTTTCTGTCTTTTATTGTAACCTGGTCAGACTGGGGGCAGTTGGTGCAACGACCCAAACAAAGGCTTGGAGTTCGATTTGCATTACATTCAAATGGCTGATTCTTTATTAACAGGACTACACTTCAGAGCATAACTTCTCCACAATCAACATGTGCCTGGTGGGGAGCAGCATGTTGTGCAGAAAGGACAAGGGGCAGAGATTGATGGCAGCACAGGGTTATTATCACATGTTTCAACACTGTATTCAGAGTCTATAATGGTTATTATTTTTTAAACTGAAAGGTCCTAACACATGTAGAAAATATCATCACAGTTTAGCCAAGATATGCACACCCTGCAGGCCAGTGGATGCAAACGCCTGCTCTCCTTGTTGCAGGGTGGAGAACATGAACAGGGTGTGAGGAGAGCCCATGCTAGGGGTGCCCATAAATCAGGGCCCTTCTGCCCCCTATGTCCACAAAACCAACAGGAACTGGATGATCCAAATTCCTTGGGGTTAATTCACCAAGTCGCTCCCTAAATGTCCTTCTGTACACCACATCTTGTCTTTAACTGCTGCTGTGGCTGAATGAGAAGCTTAAATGATACAATGCAACACATCCTCGGCTCAATGACCTTTGCACCTACAACACTAGAGTATAGGTTAGCACAGTCCAGCAGTGATAGGACTGAATGAACTTAACACCACTATCACTATCACCCATGCACTATAAGATGTGCCCTTTAATCTCCCAATCATAAAACACATCTTGTACAATAGCATACTTTAGTAACAACATAGTCATTCACTGAAGGAGAGACTGACAATAAAAAGACAAAAAAAAACTTGGGTTAAAGGATACGTCTGTATTCAACACTCACTAAATTCAAAACTAAAATACAGACATTCCTCAGACGTTATCAAAAAAGCCACAAAACTGTTAATCTCTGATTATTTTCAGGGTGTGTAAAAACATGTGTAGGGTGGGATTAAAGAGAAAAAGTCAATCCTCCTTCAGGAGCTGATGTTACTTGAGTTCATTAAATTGAACTTACAAACTACTGAAGTGGAGTAAAAATAAAACATGTCTAACTAATTGTGATGAGGGAATCTAACTGTTCAGGAAGTATATATGATTTAAGCACAATTTGTCTAAAGTTTTTTATTAAAATCGAACCTTCTCCAGCTGTTTCTGCGTCTCCTTTTCTCCCACCCACATGCACAAATGAAGAGATGACTTCAGCAAGGGAACATATGAATTCTCCTATGATTTTGTGTGACATAGTTTAGGTAGATAAATAAGGATTACAATGCAGCAAATGATTTAATTTACTGAATTTTTTTTTTTTTTTTTTCACTTAATGTGCAAGAAAACCTTTTTCTAAAATTTCCATAAGAACATACATTGGATGGAACTAAATAGTGTCAAGAGTCTAATGACTGCAAAACCTATTGCCTCTGTAATCACCCATGAAAGAGAAAACCCGTAAAAACGTGTAAGCAAATATTACAGTCTATAATGTGCGTTTTAGGTACACACTAATGAGTTATCAATGACGAGATAATGTCTATGATCTTCTCACAAGATTGTGAAAAAGTGAAACAATTATTATCAAACTTATCATATCGCGCTATGAATCATTTTATGGGTGGCTATATATTTAAAAAAGCTTTTACGCACAAACAACCAAAGCAACGAACATGCGCTGCGTGACCAAATGTGAACAGAAATAATAATTTATATATTTTGAACTTTTGTCCGCAGCAAAGCACTTTGAAAATCACATGCATTCATCCGTTTTGAGACCTGACTAAACTTTGTTTCGAGGAAGAAACTTTATCGGCCCTGGCTCAGTATCACAGTACAGTAGAGCACACACTGCCATGCACTGTTCCAGAGTAGAGCCCTTGTGCTCAAACAATAACGCATTGTTCACTCATTTTCCATTTACCCCTCATTTTAGTGAAAAGTAAAGTAAAAGTAATGGGCTAACTTTGGTGCCGCTGCGTGTTGAGAGTGCGTGCAGACACAGACCTTGGTGTACTTGATCTCGGGGTTGGGCACCGGGGAGGGCATCAGCTGGAGAGATGCCATGAGAGCAGCGGGGTCGCTCTTCACCTCTCCGGGGATCTCGATCTTGCTGGAAGTCATTGCGCCGTGTGCCGTTGGTGCTCCTCTCGGTGGGCTTCTGTTTTTTAGGAAGAGAAAAAGATTCTGATTAAGGACTTGTTGGGATCCTTCCTGAGTTTATAGCCAGGTGTCAACCGCGGCTCATTTTCATTGGATAAAGGAAAAGGGCCGTCCTTTTGAAAATGAAATACACGCATTTACATAAAACGACATCAGCCATGCCTGTTAAGGAGGAGAAACAAATCCACCCCACCCACCACCTCTTCACAGCGCTTTACCTAGTCAATGGATAGCGTAAAGTTTAACTAGGCTACTGAAAATGACAGTTTCCCACAGATTAATGTCTGGTCCAGTTAATTTATTAGAAAACTGTAATTCAAATATATAAATGCATAGTAGGCCTATTGGTAATAAAGCACAACTAAAACGTTTTCTTAGGACATATAAATGTTTATAACTTATGTTATTTTCATCACATTTAGTGGCGCAGAGAGGACTGTATATGTAATACTTTTAATAAACAGGCTATTATTTCTATAACATACAAAATAAGGCATAGAGATTACCTAGTTTGGTTTTTCACTTATATTGTAACTATGGCCTGCTACAGTGTTTTTAAAAGGTATAATTTACAACTACCTCCAAAACATCACACATTTACCCGACTTACAGCTCGAACATAAACTCCTTTACATCTCAACAGTGACATGAAGGCGTTAAAGACTTATCTCACTTCGGTCTATTTGCTTAACAAGCTTCCCAATAGCCTATGATGTTATGGAAATGATGCGGGCTTGAATCGCTGCTTGACGCGGGGTGGTCTTGTTGGCATAAATTGGTCCTGCAGGTGATAATTTATCTGAGAGCCAAATAAACATCCCACCAATTAGGTGTCTCTCAAACCTTCACGAAAGTAAAAGTTCTGGACAGTAACTCTGTGCAGAATGCTAGCCTATGATTGTGCATAATCTTTTTACGCACAACGTCACATTTCATTGACAGGGCACTACACATTTAACAATCCCGGGCTCCTTATCCAGATTCCTGACAGCACAAAGGAGTCCGCAGACGGATGTATACAGGTCTGTCATTTGCAAATCCCCAGAGAGGATGCTTTTCCTCCATCAGCACGCAGGGGTCTTTTTCACAGCATGGGCGACACTCTCCCAAGTGTCTGGTGAACATCAAAGAGCCAGTGACAATGATGAATGCAGAAAAAACATCCAGCACGTTCTCACAAAACACTGAGCGGCAGACAAGACCAACCTGGAGAGAAGACATCCAAACTTTAACTTTAACTCCAGTAAAAGGTATACACATAGCGCCTCCTGTCGGATAAATAAAGATAAGATGACAATTGCTCTCATAGTCAAGAATAGCCAATTTTCGCAGTTAACAAATGTACATGTGAATGAGAAAAATCTTGCAAATGGGAGGTACTGGACTACAGCTCATATATATATATATATATATATATATATATATATATATATACACACACACACACACACAGCTTAATTAATTTTTTGTTTATAGAGTGTCACATCACCAAGCTGTAAATACAACCAGTACCTTAAACATTAGACATCTGATCAAAATAGATTTTAGAGCTCATGCCAGCTTCTGTTATATTCGCTTTAACATGTGGGTTATTAAACATGCAATAAAAAAATAAAAAAAAAGGTAAATGAGGGTTAATAAATTACAACGACATTTTTTTAAGTTTCTTGTCTATCTTGTCCAGGGACCAGTGGCATCTGTAGCATACTTCTGAAGGCTGGTACAGAGCGGACCCCTAGTGGTCGTGGAGAGGATAACGCGCGTCCTAACGTGGCTGTGCGCCCAGATACTCGGCCGAGAGCGGAAGAAAGAGGCGGCAACCTACAACTAGTCTCCACTATCTCACACTGCTCAGACTCTGCTGTTCGGGACACACATCAAATCTAAGCCTGCGGTGACAAATAAAATCATGGAAGACGAGAACAAGAAGAGGATGAAGGAGAAATTTGGACTGAGGCGGGATATCTTTAAAGAGTTCCTGGCTGAGTTTCTGGGGATATTTGTCTTGATAGTGAGTACCTCCATCCGCACCTGTCATCCGACATAAAGAGGCGCTTTAATGCTGAAGCAGCGCGCCATACGCTAATAAGATGTCACCCAGATCTCTGGGGAGTGAAACCACTATCCCTCACACGTCTTTATTGGGACATAGAATAATAGTGTTGTTGATGTGTTTTTGCGACTGTCTGCCAACACAGATAATAACAAGGTGTGACTGACGTGACAGTGGTGTAAGGCACCGAATCCCCCTATTTAATGTTTTCTCGGTGTGTAGCCTTTCTGAAATGGTTTTCCTAAGTTGTATAGGCCAATGCTACATATGCCTAAACAGTTGTACTTTAAACAGAACAAATTATTATTGGCTGTATCTTGGTCTAACACCCCCACCCCCAACTCCACATCTCATTGAATGGTCTTTAAAACTGCATGTCACTTCAGAGCAGGATGTACCACCACAGCCCTTTTTAGTCTTGGATGACTGCTCTAGTCGCCAAAACTTTTTGTTTAAATTGCTTCTGCCTTCTACCTAATGAGCAAGGGATTAATTATTTTCCCATCCCTGTGCAGGACAAATTGTCTATGGCAGTCAAAGGCAGCTGCTGGACAAGAGGGCTAGTGTTAATGGTGGGTATAATTGGAATATTTAAAAACAATGAACGTTTTTGTTCTTGTCTGTCTGCGTCCCAGCTTTTCGGATGTGGTTCAGTGGCCCAGACCGTGCTGAGTAAAGGGGCTCTGGGGGAGCCCTTGACCATCCACATTGGCTTCACTCTGGGAGTCATGATGGCTGTTTACATGGCCGGAGGAGTGTCAGGTACACTTACTTACGTTTGGACCTTACAGACAAGGAATTCCCAATGAGGACCTTTGAATATGTATGATGAAAAATGTGAATTCCTCTACACCACAGTAAAGCCAAAAAAGCAGGAATTTTCCCAAATTTCCATAATGGGGTTTATCACATGCATTATCCGGGGATTAGAGAAAGAAGAGCCCAGTGTGATTTACCAGTGCTAACAGGAAAAGTGGCAACACTAGTAAATGTCACAGGAAGCTACTAAATGGGGTTGCTGAATTTTAATCAGAGAAAGTAGTCATTACTGGGGTGACAGTGGCTCAGTGATTAGAAAATACACATACCAACCCAAAATCTGCAATTTGATCCCAGCACCAGCAACAGCTTACTGTGGGTAGTGATGACTGAATGAATACACAAACAAAAAAAATCTACTCACAATATGTGGCAAAAAATGTCAGTGTGTTTTCTTATATAAAGTAAAAATGTATAGAATGATGCAAACACATCATAGTTTGAGGAAGGAAAGCCATGTAGAAAGTCTTTTTTTATAGTCTCAGTGGGGATGGTTGTTCCGTAAACTGGTCTACAGTGCACTTGTGCTACATGTTTAATGACCAGAGAATGCAGTAGACGAGAGCTTCAGAGGAATTGTAGCAAAGCCCAGGGACACGGAGGTTAATATATGGAGAGTCTTTGCTGCATGAATGGGCCATTCAGCCCCAGGGTCCACAGCGCAGTGGGATGCTTCTGTCCAACGACATCTTTGAAGATGATCATAGGTATTGGACTAATGAGCTTTACTGGGGCATGGGTCTGTGCAGAGGAGGGGTCAGGTGTGACAAGCCTTCCCCTCGAAAGTGGCCTCTGAAAAGATGAAAACAATTGTTTTCACTTTGTTGTCTGAGAATTTGGATGACAGTATACCATAAGTGTGACACATCATGGTCACTCTAATGACCTGCAGTTTACATGGACCTTAAGAAGATTCAGCCAGATTATGTCAGATGCAATTCGGCCATGCAGGCCTGGCTGACTGTCGTGGACAGTGTTTGTGAACTAGACGGGGAGATTAACAATGGACGCATGGCTGATACCCCCAGTGGTGTTACCACTGCAAGGTCAAAGCCAAGATCCCCCAGTGTTAAATAAATGACCCCACACTTGGCTAACATTTAGCTGGATTGAGTTTAAACATGCCTCCTTTGGACGAGACGAGGCATGGGAAATTTCCATGTCCTTTGAAGAATTGTTTTCCCAGCATTAGAACAGTCAACAAAGGTAGCCTTTAAAACCACAGGGTTAGTAAGAAAACAACATTGATTTTTTATTTTTTTTGTTGTTGACAGCTTTCAACATACATTTAATGTTAATAAAATATACATACTGTTTACAGGAGGTCATGTAAATCCCGCTGTTTCTCTGGCCATGGTGATCCTGGGGAAACTTTCTGTCAAGAAGTTCCCTATTTATGTGGCAGCCCAGTTCCTTGGAGCATTTGTCGGATCCTGTGCTGTCTTTGGGCTCTACTATGGCAAGTACTTCACACAGACATTGCTTTTTCTCAAGTTATGCATTCTATATTGACTGATAAATTGCACAGATGCTCTGATGGAGTACACCAATGGAGAATTCATGGTTACTGGTCCAAATGCTACAGCCAACATATTTGCTTCATATCCAGCGAAACATCTGTCAGTCCTTAATGGATTTATTGATCAGGTATGTTACATCAGCACTCTGAACAACTGTCACAATATAGGCATAGGCGGAGGCAGCTGAGTGTAGTGAGATTAGCAGGAGCTTATTCTAACAGTGTATTTAATGCAGTCATGAATGAACATGAACAACATAAGTGGAGCATAAATGGATGTGTTGTTGGTGAACTATAAATAATTCTGATCCGATGGGAATAACAACCATCTGCTCTCAGTATTCTTACATGTGCAGTATATGTTAAATACATGCACAATAATTTAAATTTTTTTATTCTTACCTCTATATCTGCAATAACAATTGTTAATAATCTGTATTTTTGTAATCATATGAACTCTTAATAAAACCTTTTTAATTACCATATGGCGTATAGTATAGACAAAATCAGGGTAAAGGGGAAGTCTCATAATAAGCTTAGATAAGATGACATGGGTCAAAGGTCAGTCAGAGCGGATAACACCAAACAGCATTAAATTAACAGACATATTGTTCTCCTCTAATTACACCTGGTCCAACCATGCACAACTGTGCAATTGATGCTGGTGTGTTTTGTAGGTGATTGGAACTGCAGCACTGATCCTCTGTATCTTGGCCATCACTGACAAGAGGAATATTGGGGCTCCTAAAGGCATGGAGCCCCTGTGCATTGGCTTGGCCATTACTGCCATTGCGGTGTCTATGGGTCTGAACTGTGGTTATCCCATCAACCCTGCGCGAGACCTGGGCCCACGGTTCTTTACTGCTGTGGCCGGCTGGGGCATGGATGTGTTCAGGTAAAATCACAGGAAGGTTCATGAAAAACTGAAGTTTTTCATGCTTCAGGCATAAAACCATGTTCACACTGATGGTGTAAGTATGTGAGAGAGCTTTATCTGGGCTCTATTTTTGTTCCCTTCATAATATGAATTAATATTTTAGCGTGCATGCTTGTGTGCCTCTGCAATTTGAGAAATGGCTGTGGGATTGAAGTGAACAGTAAAGATGTACCGCTCACATAAATATCTAATATACTTTACTTAAATGGCATGAGTGTGTGCCCTTGACTTTATTATATTTATTTCTCCTGTATGAGGATTTCTTGCTGACTGTTGTCTGTTCAGATGCACTGTATCTCTGTTGAATGATCACAGCCCTATAGTGTGATAGTTCAGCCATCCCCTCAAAAAACAACAGGCATGTAATTCTTTTTTTTTTTTTTTTCCTTTAATGAATACAAAAGTTACAATTAAAACAAGAGTTTTTCAACTACAAAATAAATTTCATGGTCTTATGACCGTTGGAAAATTGTTCTAAACCCCTCCATCCCGATCTCATTCAAAAGGGAAGTTTGCAAGGGGCTCGTCACTGAGCTGTGCTCCCAGGAACTCCTTGAATTCGCCCATTGATCCAAAGTGTGAAACACAGTCAGGAGGATTCAACGCATTGAGCATCCTAGTGGCCAGAGTGAGACATGACCTCTGCATCATGGCAGCGCAGGGCAGGGTCCCATCAGGAAACACATAGATGGCCCGCCGTACATCATAAGGCAGAACTTTCTGTGTGGGCTGGTACCGCTGGCGAAAGCCCGTGGTACAGTTTAAATGCAAGACATGCCAGTGAAAAATTGCGTCTGGTTTGCAGTGTGGTCAATCCAAGTGCTGTATAGTGCTCTGGTGTTATATGGGCACGATACGGCAGATGGAGAATAATGCGCATGCATCGCCGTTGCAAACTTTCGAGACAGTTCATCAGAGTATTTCCTGCACCACATATTAACACTGAGCAGTATTCTAGCCGAGATCTAATATAGGCCTTGTAAATGCGTAACAGAAGATCATTACTTCTTGGTGGCAGCTTTGTTTTAAGTAATCTCAACACAAAAATCTCCTTACGAGCCACTTTACACATTTCTTCGACATGACGCTTGAATTTTAAATCATTCGTGAATATCACACCTAGGTGTTTTGCCTCACTTGAGAAGGGAATATTATAACCCTCGAAAATAACACGGTTATTTAGTAAATTACTGACATACGGTTTGGCAAAACATAAACACACAGTCTTAGAGGTATTAAACTTCATGCCCCAGGTACTGGCCCAGTTGCTTGCTGTATCTAGCGCATAATTCAAACTTGCGATTGCCAGGGCTGGATGAGCACTGGAAACCGTTATTACTGTGTCATCTGCATATGCAGCTGGTGTAATTTTGACACTTTGTGGTAATAAACCAGATAGACCTTCTAAAGAAGTCAGCAGGTCATTCAGAAAAAGAATAAACAAGGCTGGGGAAATGACACTGCCCTGAGGAACACCAGGTTGTACTGGTAATGGGGAAGAAATTGTGGATCCAATTCTTGTTTGTTGCATGCGATTACTTTTTTTTTACATTTACACTGTATCCCTTATTTTCCACTAGAGGTCAGTAGGTGATGTTCTTCCTTCATATACATTTGTGTTTACTTACTGAAAGTGTCATTCTGTGAATGCTTTGACTGTCATGTTTTGGGTAATTTATGCCCGGGGGTTCATTTGGTGCCATTTTATCTTGTTGGCACATGCCTGAAATCCACATTTATGTCTTTCCACAAAGTAAATAGTGTCTGCACGTTTCAAACACAAGAGGGAACAAGGTGCATTTGTGTACGACCTCCTATTGGACTTTGCCTAGTGTAAATAAAGCTGCCTACAACAGGCTTAGCATGCAAGCAGTCCTTTTAAGATGGTGCAATGATAAGGATATTCAAAAATAAAGATCTGTTAACTAGTATATTTTACTTGAAAAATATTATGGAACAGGATTTTACAAAGGCATCAGTTTAATTCTCACATTATTAGTTAATTTTAAATATTGCTAGTAATATTTACTTAAATAATTGTTATTGTTTTACAAGAATCAAATGTGCAGGCAGCACTTGATGCTATAGCATGTAGACAGAGTGTCAGTGTGACCCAGGGTGTTCGTCTGTCTGTCTCTTGATCATCTTAGCCTTAGATTATGGCCCTTATAATCCCTGGGCCTTCCTATTTGGCCTGGCTCCTTCTTGAACACTACCAGGAGGAAAACAAGACAGACACTTGTTGTTGGGATGGTAGAGAGCTAGTTAAGCAAGCCCTTTCACCTAAAGACAACAAGCAGTCTTAAGGTACTGTCTGTGAACTAGGACAACAAACACAGCTACTTAGATAATCTGGTAGAGTTGTGGTTCACTTCAACAGCCGAAGTTCATTAGATCTTTGTGTGTATTGTAATATTATTTCCTATTGTTTCCTTTTGCCAGACCAGTGTTTTTGTTGTGTATTTTCAAAACACATGGAGCAAAGGTCATTTATTTTAATTTATATTAAAAAATATATTTTATGTAAGTAACATATATTAAAACACTCATGACTGAGATTTCTTTAAAATTAATATGGGACCATATTTATCTCCATAAAAACAGAGGCACAATCATGTAACTTAATGTCACCTTAATACAGTAGGTTTTAATGCTATATAACTGATGCTGAAGTGCTTGTTGTTACCACAGGGCTGGGGGCTGCTGGTGGTGGATTCCAGTGGCGGGGCCTATGGTGGGTGGAGCTGTGGGAGCTGGAGTTTACTTCCTGTGTGTGGAGCTGCATCACCCTGAACCTGAGAAACAGGCTGAGAACAACATCCCTGACAAGTATGAGATGGTCACCATGAGTTAGGCCCTGGAAAACACAGCAAGCAACAAGCATAAGACAAAAGTCCAGATAAGAGCAAAGAGAGGTTCCTTTCCAGTCTTGGTTAAGACTGTGATAAAGCACTACTTGAACAATGTTTTTAGCTATTTATAAAAACAATATATATATTTTTAATAATAGTTATGGTCCTATGTTATTGTTTTTGTAACTGTATTTCCAAATGACTCCACTGCACTTTTTCTTTTACATGTTTTGCCTGAATATTACAGTTATTGGCACGTCAATGGTCTTAGAAACCCTACAGCCAATATTACATTTCTATTTATGCAGTTTTTTTGTTTTGTTTTGGGTTTTTTTGGCCAGTTTTTTTTTTTTTTTACTTTTTTTTTTTCAGTTGCAATTGTCTAAGAGTGTAGTATTTTTGTATACAATGTTGTGTATCCTCAGTGTGGATGTGCTCACTGTGGATGGCTGCTCCTCCATATGCATAATTTCAGCCACATTTTTTAACACATTTGATGTCAAATATGCATGGTCTATATGCCTGTTTTTCCAGCTATTATGAGAAGTTTACAATAACAAATCCTCTGTGACACTGTGAATTTTTCCATTTATGTGTTTGTAATACTTTTCCTGGTCTAAAATATTTATTGTAGCTAATACAATGTAACTAATACAATGTAGCTAACACTAATGTAGAGCACTGAATGTTGTTTTACAAACACACCAAAGTCACATATAATTGAGACAATCAACTTTTTCAGTAAACCTGTTCCTGGTTGGCCATGAACAATGTGTTTGTTTCATGACCAATACACATACCTTGTCTGACCAAGTGTGGGAGATTTGGTGTCAAGTAATTATTTGCTTTATATGTCCTATATACTTTTTCCATGTTTACTTTTCTATCAAAGGAAATAAAATTTACTGATGTAACTGTATTCAGTCTTCAGTGTATTCATTACATTGTCTTTACATTTGCTATATTATCGAGTTATTTTGGACAGTATGATTCATATATCATAACATCAGAAAAGAGTAAATCTGTTGTAGCTCATGTAGTACTGTATGTAGTGATGAGATATGAGCTTTAAAGCATAATGCAAGCATTAGAAAAGCATTAAAACATGATTATGAAACTTCTGTCAGTTGCCCCTAATACAGAGTTTGCTCACAATGAAAAATGGGTGGATGCTTATGTAATCTCCAGCAGACTGTATCAACACTTCATTTCACTTCAGTGGGTTTTATGTCTTCTCCTCTGTGCATTCACTTTGCACAGTTACTCTGTGGAGGGTGGAATATGTGGAAAGTAATATGCCAGTTTTCTGTCATCCCAATGTTTTGAGAACCAAAAATGCTGAAATGTTCACAATTGCAGACATACATGAAGACATGGGAAGATTTCAAACACAAACAATATTCTTAAGTGTGCATATTTTGTTAGGTAAAACTACATAACCACATAAAGTGGTTCTGTGACTCCATTCAGCTCAGTCATTATTGAGAACCGTCCTGTTTGGGTTGACGTCAAATTATGAACGAGAGCAGTACAAACAGATAAGAGCAGTCATAGCATACCCAGCCGGCTGGAGATCAATAACATGAACACATACAATATATGGTAAGTAGGTGTTTCCATACTCTGAATCACGTGTACAACTGGGACATAATCACATATGTTTATATTGAACAAGAAAAAGTATGTCTTGCTAATAGCTAAAGTTATGATCTTTAGACTGAATTACACTTTCACTCCAATCCAGGCTCCCCCCTGGTAACAGTAGTGTCTCATTTTAGTACCCAAAAAGGGTACTAAAATGAGAACTTGACAACATTTATTTGTTTTCCAAACATATTAGCTACATTATTTTAAATGATAAAATACCAGTGATAAAGGTGACCAAACTTTCTTAATAATGGAAAAAATACTGTACTGGGAAAAAATACTACTACCTATTCACAGTGTCAAAGTGTTAGGATTTATTGTACAGAACAACCAAAAGAGCCATCTGAAAGATATAAATTCACACAGTTATGTAACTACAGAATCAATAAATTAAAGAAGACTACTGAACCTTCATGGTTAAAACTTGTGCTGCTTATATGGTTATAACATAATAACATACCATTTTGAGATTTCCACAGCGTTCTGGCTAATGTTAGGAGAGAAAAGTTTAAACAAAAGTCAAATGTGAAACCCTCCCCATTGATAACTGTGCTCTTTCCCAATCTGTGAACACACAGCTCATCCTCGACCAATCAGAACTGCACTCAGTGCTCCTTATCAGTGAATCTACGCTGCTCCCCTGCCTTTTTCTGAACATTAAACCATAGTTATTTTCAGCCTCAAGACAGTAATAAACTGTATAACATCCACTAGAGGAGGCTCACAGATTTTCTGCTGTTTTGAACCTGGGCTCTGTGTTGTGTACTTTTTTCCCTGTCTCTGAGGTTTAAGGAAAATTATAATGTCTGTCTCAACAATCCTAGTCTGTCTGCTGCTCACTCTACACTGTCTTGAAGGCAAGAAACACAAAGGACACAGACTTGGTGAGTTTAACTCTGATTAAAATACATTCAATATAACTGTTACTGTACTTCTAAAGTAACCTTGTCAAAAAAACTATAACTTTAATTTTCTGATTATATGTTGACTCATTTTGCAAAGCAGTTCAAACTAAGAAATTACATAATTTTAACCACTGCCTTGATCACCACTTTCAAACTATTCTGTTATTTTATCAATTGGAACATCTTAAAGACTAATCTATCACAGGCTGAACCTATATAGAAATCTCATTCATGAAATTATATATTAAGGACATACAGTACTAACAAATAGTCCAAATACTATTTGGCCCATCCCATGCAGGGTCAACAATCATGTCGATCCCAGTCTCTCTCCAGACACAAATTGCTAGAAAAAATTAAGGATAGAAAACTGAAAATGAAAAAGATAAGGATTGTAAAAGAAAATAAAAAATAAAAAATAAAAAACTAAAGAGCAGACAGTCTTTTCTCTTATAAAACTTCAGGTAGTTTACCAAATCAGAAAATGGCAATTAACAATTGCAATGTTTACATTCACACAACAATCCAATTATTATCAGAGCTCAGGAGTTATCAGATCATTAAATTAACATGCAGATCACAAAATTTTATGTGAGTAATCAAAGAGAACATGATCAGAAAGAAATTAAGCATCAAATTTAGCTGTTTATATTTATTATAACATTCCAAAAACTCCAGAAATCTGAGAATATTCTGGTTTTGAGTGGGCATGTAAATGTAGCCACTGTTGACTACAAGAAACAAGTAGCTGTACTAAAGGGTGAGCTTGAGAAACAAGGAAATAACATAAAAGCACTAGGCTATAACATATATTTTTTAAATACTAGTCAATCTCAAACTGCTTTTACAGTATTCTTACCATGGAGTATTTGTCTGTGTAATCAGTGAGTGATGTGACTCGGAGTGAGGTCCTCAGTTTCAGAGAGCCATACGTCCCCAGTGCTGTGTTCAGGCTCTTTCTCCAAGGTGAGGACACCTGCACCCTGGAGTTGGCCCAGCTGCACACTCTGACCTCCTGTGGTTTCAACAGCAGTAATCCCCTCATCATCATCACTCACGGGTGGTCGGTAGGTCACCTCTCAGCTCTTCCACTTCACTGCGTCTGACCAGGGCACACAAAACACAGGCATTAGCCAAAATGTACCACATCTGCAGCTGGCTCACATTCACATGCAAATCATGCAGGGGAGACTTAAAGAGCAACTTTAAACACAATTGTGGATCAAGAAATGTATGTTATTAAATATTGAATGATAGTAAAAATCTTCTCTATAACTATATTTTTTTTCCTTTAGGTTGACGGTATGATGGAGAGCTGGGTTCTGAGGTTGGCTACCACAATGAAAAAATATATCAGAGACGTGAATGTGGTGATTACAGACTGGCTGACACTGGCTCATCAGCACTACCCCATTGCAGTCCAGAGCACCCGCACTATAGGAAAGGATATTGCTTATTTTCTTATGTCACTCAAGGTTGGATGGCATTTTTGGAATTAATGTCGGAGATAAAAACAAGACACTGTACAATAATATATATATTTTTCTTTACAGAATTCTTACCAGTTTCCTGTCAAAAACGCACATTTGATTGGCTATAGTCTTGGAGCCCACATCTCTGGATTTGCAGGAAGTTATATGGATCCTTCTGAAAAGATTGGGAGAATAACAGGTTTGTACTGGATGTCCGTAATACATAATTTCAGTACAGTTAAAATAGCAGACTTTATTAAATTATTGTGAGAAAATTCCCCAGGACTGGATCCAGCTGGACCCCTTTTCGAAGGTATGTCCCCCACAGACAGACTGTCCCCTGATGATGCTGAGTTTGTGGACGCTATTCACACTTTTACTCGTGAGCGGATGGGACTCAGTGTCGGCATCAAACAAGCAGTGGCACATTTTGATTTTTATCCAAACGGAGGAGACTTCCAGCCGGGATGCGACCTACACAACATCTATGAACACATCTCTGAGTATGGCTTACATGGTATGACTGTATTAAACTCATCTGTTTAGTAATGGTACCATCACTGTAAAATTAGGTTACTCAGGTAGAAGTAGCCAAAGAGTACTTTAGTAGTAAAAGCAGTATAATACATGCACAGAATGTAATGATATAAAATGATTTTTGTTTCTCAGGTATCCAGCAGACAATGAAATGTGCCCATGAGAGATCAGTCCATCTGTTCATAGACTCGGTGTTGAATGAGGATAAGCAGAGTATGGCCTACAGGTGCAGTGACAACAGTGCATTTGACAAAGGCGTGTGTTTGGACTGCCGTAAGAACCGCTGCAACACACTGGGCTACAACATCAAGAAAGTCCGCACTGGCACCAGCAAGAAGCTCTACCTCAAGACACGCTCTCGGATGCCATACAAACGTACAACACTGCATATATCCAAAACTACATACTCCGTATATTATTATTTATTTCTCTTAATATCTCTTATTGGATATTATTAAATATTAGTTATACTCACTGATCATTAGCTGATCATCAAGATAAAAATACATCAAAAGAGGAAATACCAGTGGGAGCTGTTACATACAAAAATAGTAAATCATTTTGAGATACTACTTCTAGAATTATTACTAGTTTTTATTAGTGTACATATTAATTTAATTGTGCACCCCATAAACCAACGCTTGTGCCTGCAAAAAATTCAAATTTAAAATGAGAAAAAACAAATAATAATAGAACTAAATAGATGTTATTTCTTGCTTTCCTAATTATTACTACTTTTCGAGGAAGTAATGTTGAAAAGTACAGGTGTAGTGCTGTGCAACACACAAAAATCCATGCAAAATGCAGGGACACTTTGCACAGTGCTGGAAGTATCTGACAGTTTAAACATTTGTTTTACAAAATCCAAGTGTTGCCATATTAGTCAAATAATAAATATTGTGTAAGTTAGATGAGCTTTGGCAGTTTTAGAATAACCTCTGTTCAACCAAAAAGTAGAATCGGGCCAAAAAGGACAGCAAATTTATTATTATTTCTGTTAATTATGCTTTAGTGAAATTGGTAATCTGATCTATATGTGCTTTCAGCTGTAATATAATCATTAAAAAGGTCTGCTTACCAAAGTCACTTATATCATGACCACTTGTGTATGTTTGATGTTCATGTTCCTGTTCCTCTTTCTGTCTGTGCAGTCTTCCACTATCAGTTCAGGGTCCAGTTCATAAACCAAACGGAAAAAATGGAGCCTTCTCTTGTCATTTCTCTTACTGGGACCAAAGACGATAGTGGAGACATCCCTATCACATTGTAAGTAGCTGTCCCAAAAAACAGCTCAATTAATTTCAGTTTAATTGAAAATTAAATTTTAATGGTCACAATGATCAAATCACAAAGGCTGCAGGCACTTAAGTAGTAAAATATTCTCTGCAAACTTGAAATTATCATGTTCTTCTATGTATAATATTATTAACCTGCTAACATGGAAGCTAGACTTCTTCAAACATATTCTGAAATGCATGTGATTTTAGTATTAGTTTATTTGTTTATATTTTCTTCTCTCAAAATCAATCTCCTGGATATGAAATGTGCACTGTGGAGTGACTCATAATTTAACACTATCAAATCAATAATCTAATCATAACTGGAGTAAGAAAAAAGTGTGTGAAATTACCATTGCGTTTCTCACAAAACACAGCTGTGCCTTCATCTGTGTCATCAAACAGAGAAACAACTGACCCATGTGAAAAGTGTGGGGCTGCTACATAAAAGGAAACTATAAAATATCAAAGATGACTGAATAAATAATTTAGACACACGGAGCATAAAGGGGTCTCTTGGTATTCCCATTTAGAATAAAAATAGATGTATGAACACTATGAAGTGAAGTTGAATGTAAACCACAATAGATAACAGTTACTTTTATGTGTTGCAGCACTGAAAACATTTCAGGCAATAGGACATTTACCTTTCTGATTGCCCTGGACAAAGACCTGGGAGATCTGATGCTTCTAAAGATTCACTGGGAGGGCCCCGCTCTCTGGAAGAACATGTGGAACCGCATGCAGACCATCATCCCCTGGGGCGGCAAGGGCAGCAAACCCGTGCTCACAATGGGGAGGATTAGTGTCAAAGCTGGGGAGACACAAGACAGGTATATTTCACTTTTAAACAGAAAGAGAGAAAGACACAAAGGCTTCCTCACAACCACAAGATCTTGGTTCGTGAATGTAGTAGTTGTAGAAGTCATTATCTAACTGGCCACCTATCCCAACAGTGAATGTAAAGCCATTTATTAGTAGCCATGGAATAGCAATATTGTGGAACATAACTAGACAATACACTCATTTTGTCTTGAACTGAATTGAGGGGATTTCTTTCACTTACCTCACCAGAGGCCGATTGTCTGCAAATGATAAGCCTACACAAATTAAAACGTAGCTTAATTAAATAAAAATAACATTTATTTGATTTGCCTAAAAACGCTAGTACAATGAGAATTAGTTCAGTGGCAGACAACAAACCTAAATGGGTAAATGAAATCCATTTATATCGCCTTACACATTAAATAGAAATCGACTGCCCTCTAGTGGCATGTCTTTAGCCATACACAACACTCACGTGCTCTCATTTCCTCCAGAACCTCTTTTTGTGCTTTGACCGACGAAGATCAGCACGTGCAAGTGTCCCAGGACAAGGTGTTCGTGCGCTGCAAAGAGGAGACCATCAAAGAACGCCGGAAAAAGCACAGGGATATTTGATTTGTCGGTCCTTAATAGGCTGGATTCAGTAAAAGTGCAATTAAAAGTGTAAAAAGGAAATGATGTTATCAATGTTGTATTACATTAATATTAAAATGATACTTTTTACTGTTAAAATGTTACTGTAAATGTAAATTGATTGTATATATCATGACTGTTCCTTTTATATCATTTTAGTTCGCAACATCTTCAAAGCAACGCCTGCTTGGAGCTCTGAACATTATTGAATGTTGTAAAACGGTCAGCCCACAACGTTCAATGACCTCAAACTTATGCAAATGTTTGTTTTTTATTTTCGTTTAAATTTACTTAATGTCCCCTACTAAGAAAGAGTGTTATTAATAGACATATGGTGTTAATAACATGAAAAATTGAAAAGGCCATTTTAGATTTTGCTTTTCTGAGAGGATTTTCAATTAAATTATTCTGAATTTACATGGTAAATGTAAATTAAATAAACGGGAAATAAAAGAGGGTAGGATAAAGCTAGAGTTTAGTTCAACCATAAATATTTTGGTAAAGATTTGGTTTATTTTTTCATTCAAGTAATTGTGGTAGATCCCTGTAACTCGAGGGATTTTAAGTATAAGCAGACAGCAAAGAACAAATAAACATCCAAACAGACATGAAAATTAAAACAATAAAGACAGTAGTTAAAAGTCACAAGTTATTTTTGGATATTTGTATTACTTTTGTTCTCAGTGCAATTTTTAACACACACAACCAAGACATTCCCAAGTCTAAATTACTTAATTTTCCATGTAACTCCAGGTCGAGTAAAGACTTAGCAAAATGTCCCATTGATTAGAAACCCTGAATTAAAAGCAAAAGTAGCACCAAAAAGACAAGCTGAAAGACGGTGAGAATATAAAACGGTAGTCCATATTTCTCTTATGTCTCTCTGAGGCTCAAATACACTATTGAGCTGTCTGCATAGAATATAACTCATGTGCAATGAGCAGATGTAGAGAAACTACAGAAGCCCACTTGCTCTTATTTCTTCAACCCCTCTTCCTCCCAAATAAAATCAAACCAACTGTCTTTTGCAAGAGATAAAATCAATCAGCCACTGTTAGTTTTGACTAAAGCCACTGTCATTATAATTGCCATTAAGATTCTTAAGTAACAGTTGCCTGGCATCAGTGTAACTACCCACTCACACTGCTTTAGGTAGGCACCTTTAAAACAATGTAATTTAACACAGCATCTAGACATACCAGCACAAAAATCCAGTGTTCAGTGGCTAGGGTATAGAGGTGGTTCGCCAACAGCACACAATAATAGTATTAAATATAATTTGACAGATGCACATAAACAGCTTTTTAGAATAGCAGAAAAAGCAATACAAGTAAGACTCACTCAAGTCCACTAACAAAACAAGGTAAAAAAAAAAATCCTATTTCATAGTAGCCAACTGCCCGAAAGTTAATTTTGTCATTTTGAAAACTGTTGCACAACAGTTGCTTTTGGTTGTTGCAGTTTAAAGATTTTCATTCCAGAAAAAGGCAATACTGTTCAAAGATACTCAGTAAAATGCTCTCATTCAGTTAAGCTAAACTCTGATGTGTCAGTTGGCAATGAAGCAATGAATGTTATGTGTAAACAGAGCTAAAGAGTAAAGTAGATGCACTATGCCTTTGTGAACATGCACTTGTAATCAGCCTAGCATCTACACACATTAAACAAGCATCATTAAGTGACTCTAGAGGAACTTGAAATGTGCATGCAATCCTGTGTCTGTAAGCGCATTATAAATCCTGAGAAAGAGTTAATATGTTTTGTATATGTTAATATTAATATTTTTTAAACAAAGTTAGGATTGAAATCAAATAAAAAAATATAATTATCTTGGCAAAAAATAGTCCTTGAAGTAAAAGTCATTGTGGATTTCTGACTTCTAATCCAATATTGGTGCTGATCGTGCAACAGGTGCAAGAAAGAAGAAGACGTATGCAAAGACAAAGCAAATATTTTTCTCTCTTTCACCTCCATTTGATTAAACTAATAAAAGGAAAAAATTAAGAGCACAAAGTAACGATCAACATTGAATCTGCATATCATCTCTCCTCCTGTAAAAGTGTCTTTTTTTTTTTTTCCTATAAAAGCTGTATGAACCCCTGTTCTGTCTCCATGAACAGGCATGCTTAGTCCAAAAAAAGGTCTTTGAATTTTTACAAAAATCTTTGGAGAGAAGTGCTCTCATTGTAGGCACATAGAAAATCCAAGGCAATGATGAGGGAAGCACCTCAGCGTCTCATCTGTCCCATTTGATAGTTCTCTCTGTATTGATGAGGGCGCTGGCCTTGCTGCTGCTGTTGCCGCCTTCTTTTTAATGTACCTATTGGCAGAGGGATGACAAGTAATTTAACACTTTCAATATCCATACAAAGACAATAGATTGCTGTCCATGGACAACCAATAATAAGTTATTAACCAGACCTGGTAAAGGCTTTGGTGGGGGCAATTTGGGGTTACTGCTGGGTGTGTGCACACTGCATATTTTGATGAAGCCAGCCATAAGCATTATGAGAGCAATACCCATCAACAGGACTGCCCACCAGTGAGCCTACAGGACACAACATAAAAGCTTTATTGAATCTAATCTAATCTAATTTATTACTGTAATCAGCACACACAAGTCTGTTATACTCTTTGGTATGTCACTCACCACAATCCACTCTGCAATATTCTCATAGAGTTGTGCATTGAAGATTGCTTTCTTGAGCCTTGCCAACGGTCCATCTGCATCAACTAGACGACATCTCATGAAGACATCACAATAGCCCTTATAGTCGTTGCAGGGAGAGCCAGGCTGCAGTGTTTTGGTATTTTTGTGAAAAAACTTTTCCCATCTCTCTGAGCCTGTACTGGCACAGGTGCTTGGGGTTGCTGAGGACAGGGAGGGAAAGAGAAGACATAATTGCAACTGCTTAAATATAACAGGAGTGTTTTCTCAATGATAATGTTGTGTTGTTGGATCTCTCACTTCTCTCCATGCAGCAAACATGGCAAAGTTCAGCAGCTTCGTCCTTTCCATCCTGACTGGCACAAGTGCACATCTCTAGTCCATACTTTTCACAAATAGAGCCTGAACAGACCTGGTACAAGCAGAAGTGTTGTTTAGACCACATGCTGTGCCCTCTGACGGATATGTGGTATAACCAGTTCTTACTCCATTGAGGCAGACTTGTGTTTCAGAATTGCATGAGGTGAAGTTGGCCTTTGGTTCTGAGGTAGGACACAGAGCTGTGGCTCCATTGCACATTCCCATTTGTGCACATTCAGACTCATGTCTACAACTGGCACTTGAGTCTTTGTATGTACATTGTTCAGTGCAACAAGGGCCTTGACTGGGACTATAAAAGAGCATCAACCATAACTCACGATACATACAGCATAACAAGAAAGAAATAAACAATATATTCCAATCAGATCTAATATTCAACTATAACTTATAAAATGAAGAGAATTAAAGGGGTCCTACCTGCAGAGTTTCTCTGGTTGCAATTTGCAGCGTTTGCCCTCTTCTTCATTTGCACTATAGCAGCAAATGTCTTTACACTGGTCGCTGTAGCCACAGTCACATTCTTCTCCTGCCTCCACAAGTCCATTTCCACAGATTGGCTCACCAGAAACTGTAAACAAACAAACTAAACTGAACCGACCTCTTTGGAAAGCAATGCTTAAAAAGAAGCTGTATGTAAATTTTAAATACCATAAACAAAACCTGTGTCCCCAGATATGAGGTAGATAGGTAGGTATGTGCAAATCAAATACAGCTTTTAGTGAAAACAATTTAAAAGCTAATATATTCATAATAACAAAACAATGGACTCGATATCCCATTTATTTATGTTATAATTTGGATAATTTTATAATTTTGGACTATAATACATTCAGAATCCTCACTACCTAAACACCAGCACCAGCAACCAATCATTAATCAGTGCCTCTGCTACTGCGATATATGATGTCCATATATGTGTTCTGTCTCTGTAGGTTAAGGCATTGGCAACCTAGGTTCAGTTGTTGCCAGTTCCTTTAACAATGCTAAACATTATTTTCTCGTTCTTCACACCGGACTCTTGGTGGTGTGACACCCGGTAATCTCCGGCCGCTGAGCCGGGTAGCTCCAGCGGCTAATGGACCTGCGGCCTCGGTGAAATGCGCTCTTCTGAATGTGAGATCGGTCGTGAATAAGACATTTATCCTGCAAGAGTTCTTCACGTCGCATTCTCTGGATTTAATGTTTTTAACTGAAACGTGGATTAACACCGGTGAGTCTGCCGCCTTTTCAGAGCTTTTACCTCCTGATTGTACTTTTATTAATGCACCAAGAATGACTGGCCGTGGAGGAGGTATAGCTACTGTTTTAAAGAACTGTTTTTATCACAGAATCTTATCACTGGTGTCCTTTTCCTCATTCAAACTGAGCTGCTTTGAATTGCGTCAGACTGATCCAGTGTTGTGCGCTGTCGTTTATAGACCACCTAAGCACAATAAGGATTTTATCAAAGACTTTTCAGATTTTATGGCTTTTATGTTGACTCATTATGACAGGATTTTAATTGTCGGTGATTTTAATGTGCATGTCTGCTGTCCTTCAAAGCCCATGGCCAGAGAGTTTTTAGATTTAGTTGACTCTTTTAATTTGACACAATATGTCACTGGCTCTACGCAGACGCATAGACACACTTTAGACCTGGTTTTATCCTACGGCTTCCCGGTTGACAGTGTTGCTGTTGGGAATGCAGTTTTCTCTGACCACAATCCTGTCATGTTTGATTTTAACTTGGACAGTGGCGTGATGCTACCTGCTCCTTTGCGCAAAACTCGCGTTATTAAGTCCGATACAGCGGCCGCTTTTACTCCTCTTTTTGCGGCGTCTGCTCTCACCCTAGCTCCTGCATACACAGACACGGAGCATTTAATGAATGTATTTATGTCCCTTTGTACCAGCGTTTTAAACATTGTAGCTCCTTTGAAAGCCATGCGCCCAAAACCCAGACCAGAGCCATGGCTTAACGACACTACACGCGCAGCACGGCGGGAGTGCCGTAGAACGGAGCGCAGGTGGAAAAGGGACGGATTGGAGGTGTCTCATCAAATTCTTCAAAGCAGCTGGAAGAATTACCAGAGTATTGTTAAAACTGAAAAGAGTAAATTTTTATCAGATCTGATTTTAAGTAAAGTTAATCAACCTTGTGTTCTTTTTAAAACAATCAATTCTGTTCTTAATCCTAGTCCATCCACTACACTGGAAATGACACGGGAAACATGTGAAAAATTCCTCTCCTTTTTTAATGAGAAGGTTGCCGTTATCAGAGCCAACATAACTACACTACCCTGTTCTAATGTTGCCATGACTCAGTGTTTAGATGTTTTTAGTAAGTTTGAGCCGGTGTCACTGTCTGTAATCACAGGGATTGTTAAAAAGCTTAAGCCATCGTCCTGTCCCACAGACCCAGTCCCACCTCGCCTCTTTAAGGAGGTTTGGGACACTATTGGCAACTTGGTCACAGACATTATTAACAGTAGTTTGTCTTCTGGCACTGTGCCCTCTTTTTGTAAGAAAGCTGTGGTTGAGCCATTGATTAAAAAACCAGGTCTTGATCCCACAATTTTATCGAACTATCGACCAATTTCCAAACTTCCCTTCATGTCAAAAATCCTGTAGAAAACTGTTATTTCACAGCTGCAGCCTTTTTTAGATGTAAATGGAATTCTAGACACTTTTCAGTCAGGCTACAAGGCGTTTCACAGCACTGAGTCTGCACTTTTAAAGGTTTTTAATGACCTGTTTTTAATAACTGATGCTGGTGATTCTGCCATTTTAGTGCTTTTAGACCTGACTGCTGCTTTTGACACAGTTGACCATGCAACTCTTTAAAACGCCTTGAAGAATGTGTGGGTGCCAGGGGGACCGCCCTGGAATGGTTTAGGTCGTACCTCTCTGGGCGGTCCTTCGTTGTAAGGCTGGGGGACTCCACCTCGTCATCCACCCCTCTTCTTAGTGGAGTCCCCCAGGGTTCAATCCTGGGGCCTATGCTTTTTGCACTTTATCTGCTCCCTCTTGGAGAAATTTTTAGAAGACATGGCCTGTCTTATCATTTTTATGCAGATGATTGCCAAATTTATTTACCCATTGGCAAAAAGGATCACTGCCCCCTGACACCCCTGCTCGACTGTCTATCGGACGTCAAGGCGTGGTTGGCCCAAAACTTTTTGAAACTCAATGAAGATAAGACTGAGGTGATACTGTTTGGGGCCAACAGTTCCCTCACTAATGTGGGATTCCTCAAAAATCATGTTCGTCCCACGGTCACCAACCTTGGCGTCATCTTAGACAGTGATTTTAAATTTGATAAACAGATTAATAATGTTTTAAAATCAAGTTTTTATCATTTGCGGCTTTTATCTAAAGTTAAACCTTTTTTATCTTTTAAACTATTTGAACAAGTTATGCACGCTTTTATTTCATCACGCCTGGACTACTGTAATGCACTTTATTCCGGCATTTCGCAAAACGCACTTTACCGACTACAGTTAGTCCAAAATTCTGCAGAGCACATCACCCCAATCCTTGCATCTTTGCACTGGCTTCCTGTTAATTTTAGAATTGATTTTAAGATTTTATTGTTTGTTTTTAAAGCTTTGAATGGACTGGCTCCACAGTACGTCTCGGACCTCATCCAAATTTATCCCCCTGCGCGCGCTCTGAGGTCCGAGGTCCAGCTCCAGCTCAGGGTGCCTAAGACGAGACTTAAAACCAGAGGGGACAGGGCTTTCTCTGTTGTCAGCCCTAAACTCTGGAACGATCTGCCGCTTCACGTTCGAGCAGCACCCACAGTGGAGAGTTTTAAATCTCGTCTGAAGACCCACTTTTATTCTCTGGCTTTTAACACCGCGTGAGTTGTGTGGTCCTCTGTGTCTTTTATTTATTTTTATGTGTTTTTATTGGTTTTACTGATTTAATTTATTTATTGGTTTATTTATTTCTATTCTATGATATAGTTTTATTTTTATTTTACTGGTTTTATATTATTTTACTAGTTTTATTACTTTAAGACTAGTATTATTTTAGTAATTTACTTTATCATCTTATTGTTGTTATTTTTTATGTATTTGTGCAGCACTTTGGAAACAGTTTGTTTGTGAAATGTGCTATATAAATAAAGTGGATTGGATTGGATTGGATTATTTCCACATGCCAATAATCATCATTAGTCTCTTTTGAGTGTTTAAGTTGCTCTAGAACCTTTCCAACCACCACCAATTACTCACGCGCCACATCAACTATTTTTCAGACTGAACCACAAACTTTCCAGTAATAAAGACCACCACTTAATTGCCACAGAAAATATATCCACTTACCAACAAAGCACTCATCCTTCTTCTTCAGCAGAACTGCGCTGATATTACGGATGCTACAGATGGAGAACTTGTTATTGTTGAGTTTGTCCCCAGATGTGGCCCTAGCGTACATGATGTAGTTGCCTCGCTCCTTCTCATTCTGTAGCTTGGATTCTCCAGGGGTGCAATCTATTCCAGAATCATGCTGTAAAAATATTAGCATAGGAACTGATGAGGTAAATATAAGGTCAAAAGTCAAAGATGTTTTGTTACATACAGGTGATCCAAAGTTGTGTCCAACTTCATGAGCAAAAGTAATGTGAGACACTTTGGGAGGGACATGGGAAGCATAGTTCTGCACAGTGATAATACCGGTGTTCAGAGATTTCTTTTTCCCATCTGAGTACAGCCTGTTTTTCTCACAGATACCCCCCGAACTGCCTGTGGGTTGAAAAGAGAATATATACACTATTATGGCAATGCAGATATTATATATATATATATATATATATATATATATATATATATATATATATATATATATTATATATATATATATATATATATATATATATATATATATATATATATATAAAATCTCAAAATGACATTTAAGAATAGTAGCACATACTTTGTGTATTTAATAGCGCAAGTATTGTTAGTAGCCTACAAACATGGAGACAACACCCAGATTTAGAAACCTGAGACATAGCACTGTACAACAATGAACAGCATTTTTTTCAGTGCATTACAATAACTGAAGTGTTTATGTATGGCTTCATTTAAAATAGATTAGATGAAAGAAGATAACTAACATTACCAGACACCAATTTCTCACTAAATCTGTATGGATTTTTTCATAGAAGAGCATTAATATTTAGCTGTAATTGATTGTCTTCCTCACTGGCAGTCCTATAAAAACATTTTATTTCAAGTTTTAAGAGCATATCCATATATCTTTTATTTAAATATAATAGTATGTATTGGTGTTTGATAAATATCCAGTGACACTATAAAATCCTTTTGAAGAAGCATATCTTTAAAAGCACATCTTCTAAGCTATGAGCTATAAATTAAATATCGTATGAGCTAATTACACTACTAGTCACGTTTGGAGACACCTCCTCAGTCAACGTTTCTTTTTTTTCTTTATGTTTACTACTTTCTACCTGTAATATACATACGGAAGACATCAATTATATGATGCATAAATAGAATTATGTAGAAAAGGAAGAAGTAAAATAAGTCAACTAAATATTTTTTTACATATTATATTTAAAACCTGAAGTAGCCACCCTTTGCTTTGTCAACAGTGCTGCAAACCTTTAGCCTTCTCTCAATGATTTTTATGATGAAGTCTCCTGAAATGGTTTTCACTTCAAGCTGTAACATGTCATGGGCAAGAACTGGCAAGAGTATAAATCAGTGATCAAAGCAAAGGGTGGCTTTTTTTTTTTTTTTTTTATAATTCATTAATTCATTATAGTTTATTTATTGTTTGCTACATTCCATATGTGTTCATTCATAGTTTTGATGCCTTCAGTGAGAATCTATAATGTAAATCATAATGAAAACAAAATGAGAAACATAAGTGAGTCCAAACTTTTGACAGGTAGAGTGTCAAGAAAAAGAAAGACGTTAAATTATATACTAACCTGAGGGGGCGCCCACCCAAGCTAGACCTAGCACTCCATCATCAAAGTCCCTGTCCGTGAAGACATATGCCAAACAGTAGTCATCATGGTTTTGCTCTGAGTTAAGCTCCAAAAACTTCTCCACTCCAATGTTAGCAAAGCGAAAGGGATTAGTTTTGTCTTTTTCATCATCTGTAGTATTTATCTGAAAATCACAAAAGAAAAGTGAAACAATACATTACATTTTTAAAGCGACATAACAATAAGAAGAATTGATTAAGTCCCCAAGCAGCTTTGTACTCCTTAAATCCCACTATAACCCGCACTGACACACAATTATGGTCCAAAACAGTATTATAGTGAGACACAACCTTTGCACTGTATCTGCAGAGTCTCATCAGGAAACGCTTAGATGGTGCAACACACATTGAAAGGAAAGACAATAAGGTCTCAGGCCTATAGTTGTAGCAGTAAACCATTGCATCATTTGAATGTGAAATATGACAGTGCTAAGTTGTAATATTGTTCAGCCCAGTGTTCTGTAATGCTCTGATGTTATCTGAGAGAAATATTGCAGATGGGTAATAATGCACATGCACCACTGTAGGAGACTTTCTAAATATTTCACCAATAACTTTAATGGGCCACAGAGTTATTATTATACAAAGTAAATTTCTTAATTACCAAAGCCCAACACACACCATGCTCTTAAGAAGATGACAAACTTAAATAAGTGGTTTTAAGTAACTGGTGACATTATACTCACCCTAATCCTTTTAACCATGAAGCTAATATTTCTAATGCCCATGAAGTCTGTGGCCTGGTAAATTGAATCAATAGCTTTGACATGGCTGGAGATCTGTGGGAGAAAAAGTATAAACAAAATTTAGTTTTCATATTTTATACTTGTATCTACAACTTTGCATAAGTATGCCATTGCATGTAACCTGAGCAATCACAGCCTCTCTTGTGCCATAGTATTTGAAGAACAAGTGGTCTGTTTGGATAAAGAGCTGGCAGGTGTTTTTGTCTTGTCCAGTTGCCCTCTTTGTTCTGAAAATGACAGGGCCATAGCCACTTTCTGCTGAGTTCTCATTCTGTCAAAAACAAGTAAATTAGGTATCAAAATTTAGTCAGAAAATAAACTGACAGTGCCCACAATAAATGACAATCAAGGTTGAGTTTTGCCAACTAAAAATATTGACTTTGTCAGTGAACACTGACACTAGATGTGTGGATTTAGTGTGGCATATCCATTATATTTATTCATGTTATATTAGAGATAAGGTGTTGGAATGATGCACATACTTTGACTGGCTCCTTTACAGCTGATGCCTGATACTTCTTCATCCTCTCGAAGACAGAGTGATCCGCACAACCGCCCTCTGAGCCATACTTATGTGGATAATCTGTCAGATAAGAACAGACCGAGAATCTGGTTGAATACTCAACTAAAAACTGTAGACTGTTGTTACCTACTGTTGAGGTGTGACCTTTTAGAAATAAATGAATTATTTCCTGGTATCCTCAAGCAATTTTGTTGTGTTTTAGCTAAGGGCAACATTCACAATTGTTCTGGTTTAGCCAAGTTTAGTCTTGGTGTAGAAGTGGTTTGGTCCAGTTTTAGTCCTGGTTTAGTCCTGGTATAGTTATGGGTTTAGTTCCAATTTTGGCATGTCACTGTGTTAGTATTGCTATATATACGAATCTTGGGTTTCTATGCATTGAAATTTGTAGATAACCCTGTTCAGGGGTGACCACACCCTGAAATACACACTGCAGAATTCCTTTACACTGAACATGAAGCCATGAGCCATGAACAGACGCTCTTAGTTTACAGCATAATGATAGAAATCAATGTGTTAAAGCAAGTTCCTATGGGTAAACTGTTAAGGAAAAAAGTGTCTAAATGGTTAATATATATTTTTCTGTGTACAATGGTAACTTCTTTTTAAATTAGACTTAAGTATTTTGAGTGCCAATCTCCAGCAGTGGACAAAATTCTGGATAAAAATGCAATGTTGTATTTGTCAGTACAAACTAACTTGAAAAATGTCCAAACAGACCCTATGTCCTTGCATTGATTTTGCAGAATAGGCACTCTCTGTTCTGTTTCTATATTCCATATCATTGAAATGATACTAGATATGGATAGCTGAAAGAACAAAGGAAGAAAAGGCAATAACAACATTACTGTGACTGATCCTTTTCAGTAACAAATCATGGGAGATTACACTTGTTACCATGGTCACACAATACACACATCTGAAAAAAACAGTCAACTTTTTAATGGTCTCAAAAAAAATTGTCTGCTGCATTTTCTGGAGCATCCTCTGTGCTGCTTGGGTGTTTTTTCAACATAAAAGGAAAAAAATATATAACTGGAGCTGCTGTACAGTTTCTCGTCCAAAGGTATATAAGGTATTATATTATAGAGGTATTATAGAAGTGTTATAGAACTACTGTTGATGCAATGTCTTTAAAGACATTCATACTCACCAATGTCGTCTTCATGATAGATGACAGAGTGAAAGTTTGCATTGGTGTTCTTTAGATATCGCTCTGCTGGTTCAACATAATATGTTCCTTGGTGGGTTTTAATGAATCCTTCAAATCGGCCATTAACCACTGACCCATGGGTTAATGTGTCCTTTTCACCTGAAACACAAAGCCTTACAAAATAAAAGCAAAACAGTACATCCACCTATAGCAGAGCAGAACATACATCAATAAATATCAAATGGATTTTGTTCTAATTGTGGAGAGAAAGCCAGACTTACCAAATATGTGTCCACTGTAGATGTGTGAGGTATCGACCGGTACCTCAACCCCAGAAACCTCAACTTTAAGATCTGGATGAAATACACTTGTATCCCTTTTCATTCGCAGGTTAAATTGCCTATTAAAGAAGACAACATAAAGTAGTATAAAAAAGAAAATATTTTAATTAAATTGAACTGCATGACTCTTTCCCTTTTGGGAACTTATTACAAAGTAATTCTCTTAATACTAATCAAACCTTTATCTTTTTTTGCTAATGTATTATATTATGTGAATTTCCAAAAGCATCAAGAGTTTGGGTGAAAAATGAATCAAATGCTCAATCACATGGCATCGTATCTGGTGTGAGGCTTTCCACATGACAAAACAGAAGGTTATATAAGAATAAAGTACAGACCTTCAATTGTTAGCAAACTTCAGTTCAAAATTGGCAACATAAAGGTAGAATAACACAACAAATAAAAACAATTAAAAATGGCTTTTAATATTACTTTGCTGAACATTAACAAAACAGACTTTTAATCAGAGCCTTTAATGAAACAATGTCAAAGTCCTCCAAAGTCTGAACTCTGCTCCAAACCACATGCTTTTACAAACAGGGTTCTTAAATAAAAAGACCCAAATAAACAGGCAACTAGAATTGACTGAATCTCAACCAAATTTTAATCGAGTATAATTCCACATCCCCATAGGAAGGTTTTCTGTGATACTAGAGCTGGTGGTAGAAGGTCCACTAACCATCAACAATGACCTCCAGCTGACCACTGGTGAGAGTGTGTTTGCCAAACAATGAAATTCACGAGTATCTCAGAGGGCCCAATGTCCTCTAGTGGCCCCTAACCTGGGAGTGAGGCTGGAGATTTGCTCCCTGAACTAAGTGATAAGCGATAATAACCAGTTGGTTATTTGTTTTAATTTCACCTGCAATATCACCTGCAATATCAGAATGTTAATCACTTTTAACATCTGACTTACTTTTTAAAACCCTTAATGAGCTGGCTCCTAAGTACAAAACTAGTGCCCCCATATGAGTCAGTGGAACTTTTTGTCTGACAATACACTGAATGTTACTGATGATACATCTCTGTGCTCCTGTGGCATTTTATGATGTGTCTCTATATGCAAAATGCACACATATGGCAAATATAAACAGGCAAGTGGGCAATCAAGCAGAAAATTTACCTTGCAAAATAATTTCCCATCCCTAGTAACAAGTTTTTGTGTACAATGCAATTTAAGTTATTAATAAATATTATAAAGCAAAGATGTGATGTATGCAAAAGTTACATGAACAGTGTCTGATATAGTTAGCATACAGGAAAGAGTGTAGACACAGGAAGCTGTTTGACAGGTTACCTACATACAATATTCACAACATTCAATTTGCTTATTTCTATGATACACACGCTACGATCACTGCAATCATCTAAGCAAGATATATTTGGCTTTTGTCTGATTCGTACCAGTCAAAAGATTAGACACAATTTTTAATGTATTATTGTTCTTAATTTCCATGATTAATTCCATTGTAGATTCTTACTGAAAGCATCAAAACCATGAATAAGCAGATGTGGAATGTAGCAAATAACAAATAAACTCTAAGCTTGTTTTATATTTAAAAAATAATAATAAATTGCCACCATTTGCCATGACCCTGGTTTGCACATTCAACATTTATTGCTACCTAAGAGGCACACCTGAGAAGTGAAAACCATTTCAGGAAATCTCATCTCCATAATTCCATATATCTTGCATCATATGTTTGAAGTCTTCCATAAGTATCTAAATTGTAGAAACATTGACTGAGAGGGTGTGTCCAAATTTTTGATTGGTAGAGTTGTCTATAATGTGGATCATTAGTTAATTTATTTTATAATTCATTTTATTTAAACTGCAATATTGATTTAAAACTTAATAAAACAGTGCCACATAATGCTGAGCCTTACTGACGACGTAGCATAGCTACAGTTCACAGTAATGGGAAGAGAACTTTTTTCTTAGTTTGAGCCAAAATGACATGCGATAGGTCTGTCACAATAAATACTATATAGACTTATTGTTCAATACATGTTAGATGAAACAATCATTTTTGAGGGTCAAATTTCAGTACTATTATAAAATTTGAGCTGTAGAAGATTGAATTATTAACTTCTATGATTCATTATATAAACAAACTAACTACTTACGTGTAGTATAACTGCTACTTAAGCATTATTATTTATTATTAATGTTTTTAACAGTATTGTACATTTTGAATACTTTTTTTGTGGATAACTCTGCTCTGTGCTTTGTGACAGGCCTATTATGCAATTCTGCTCAATGCAACATGTATCACACACACTATCACTGTTTTGAAAAAATAAATAAATAATTTAAGTAAGCACAGAACAGCTGGAGTGTTTGTAAGTGTTTGTCACTGACCGTCCGTGGGCTTGGAAGTCCAGCTGGAGGATGTGGTCTTGCATTGATACTGCCCGCTTTGCTCTTTGGTGACTGTTGTGAAGTACTTCTGTGTCATATGATAAACCTTCATAATGGCGAATGTAACTGTTCAAAGGGTTGCCAAAATGTCCTAAAAACAGAAAAACATAATCAGAATAGGTTCTATTGTTTTTGTCAGTGGATATAATTCACAAACTAGGAACTTGCTTATATGTTATGCTGCAATGAAACAAAGAATAATAACAGAAATTATGATAAAATAAAAATAAGAACGTGCATTAAAGTAAGGTAAACAAAAATAGACAGTAATAATATTGTATGGTGCAGCTTATCGTGAGACTGTGATTCCCAGCCCTATAGAAGCTAGGTGATGAGAAACTGATGTTGAACAGATGCATTGAGCCGACATGACTACAGAGTTAATCCCACTGGCCTGTTCCCTCACCACTCCTTTTGTTCACTGGACAAAGACAAAATGTGTATGAATTAAAGCACAAGTGTGGGGCACATGATCTGAATCAGGTGCCTCCCTGGACCACACCATGGGATTGTGAACACATTACATTATTCTAAATTCTTGAATAATGTTCTTACATACTTACAGACACTACAATAATACATCTTAAATGTGTTCCATACATACAAATTATGTTTAAAAATAAATAACAACAAAAAAGTCACCTCCACTATTGCTAAACTGCTGAAGGTAGGACTGGGAGTCAGAGCCCCCCCTGAGTGAGGCAGCACAAGGCGAGTAGCAACTTGCCCGTGAATTCAGAGAGAAAGATCCAATAAGCCTCTTACTTCCCTGTATACAACTGGATTTGAAAACAACAGCACAAAGAAATAACATTTACAAGCATTTCAAATATCAGGCTGAGAACAGCACTTGATCAATCTCACTCCTTAGAAGTTACTGTAAGTGCTCATATACTAATTATGCATAAAACAAATCTTCACAATGACAATAAGCAAAAGACCCAAGACATCAGGCATTTTGTGAATATGAGTTAACTGCAATGAAAGATGAAACATGTAACAATAAACCAATGAACTGCTTATTACAAAGTTTTGCTAATTTTCACGAAAAAAACAATTTGTGAAAGTCTTTTGGGCTTCTTGAAACAAACTTCTGGGAAAACAGGATAGGACCATTTAAGTGGATGGACAAACAAAATGTTTATCCCCAAATATTGTAGAAAAAAAATCCTTTGTGTTGTTATGTATCGGTACAAGAGGATGTTGTCATGTTTAAATAATTGTTCTAGGTTATAAAATGAAAATGAAAAGATGGTAGGCCTACATTACGTCTACCCACTCCTTTAAAACATTATAAACCTGACATGTAGCTAATTAACGCCATTTCATTTTTAATTTGAAACTCGACTACTTCAAACCAAATAAAGTCAAGGCAGACACAACACCCACGTCTTCACAGAAACTTGATCCAACTTTCTTGTCTTTTTAAACATGTTAATGTCGCTGTTGCTCCGTTGGTTGTAAATCATGTAAGTGTTACTATAACGTTACATATGGTGCACATACAAACATAACTTTTGACTTTCTAGACTAGTCTCTGCTCATAGATACTTTAACCACAACTGTCACACAAGCTGTCACAGATCCATGTCTAAAGCGGACGGTAAAATTAGCAAGCTAGCTAGCAAGTTTCATCACTACTGCTTGATCCGATTAGCGACGAACCAGTGAACACTTTCCTTAGATGATCAGTAACAATATAATAATCTTACCTGTAATGTCGTGAAAGCAACAAAACATCAAAAGGAGTTGAACAAATGTCATATCGGAACTCTATGCGTCAAATAAACTATCCAGGCTACAAACACAGACTGTTTCTTGTTTCGTTTTGTTACACTTAAAGGTATAGTACTAGCTAGTAGTCGCCCTTCCTCGTTTGCTGACTGCCTCCCATCACAAACACCGGCACGCACACAGCCCTCCTTCCTTCCGCCTTTTGCTAAAAGACCAATGGTTCAGACACACCCATACACTATGCCTAAACCTTTATTTACAACGATAATGTTAAAGCGATCTCTTCTCTTTTCACATGATTATTTCACAATTGTAAGGTTTTCAATGCTAAACTAAATGTTAATGCATGAGCCAGTGGTATAATAATTAACTGGTATGAACCACAGAACCATCTTTATTCATGGGTTAAACTTTTGGGCAATATTGTATAAAGCTAGAGAACAGGCATTTGCAGCAGCCATTTTGTGATTGTAGGAAGAGCAGAATTCTAATAGAATAATAGAAAAACGGATCTAGCGGACTGTCCGCCCCGGTTCCTGACTTAAATTTGCTATTCATTTAATTTAACTTTGCCGTTTATAAAGTTTCAGACATTATGCCTGAGCAAGCTTTTAAACTTTTAACTTTAATTTCTTTTGGACAGTCTATAGGAAAAAATAATGAGAAATTGAGGGTGGAGGGTCACTGTTGAGCTCCGTAGTACAGAGAAATAGACCTATTTAAATACAGGTAAGTGTGGTGGTTACAACCAAGTGTGTGAATTATGAAATATTCACAAATATACAAAAAAAAGAAAAAAAAAATTCAAATAAATATAATCTACTTTAATAAATATGCCTTATAATTTACCAAATATCAGAATATCCCATCTTTTATTGTGAGCTAAAACAAATTACCAGTCCAGATGTCTGAATATGGGCTACTTTTATGTATTTTTGATCTCATAAACTGTCTCTGCTGATTATAAGTGTGAAAAGTCCTGGAAAAGACATTCAATGTCTGCTTTGTCAAACCGATTAATATGCAAATTTTGTACTGAGGAGAATGTACAGTCAGAATATGGCTGCTGGATTGGACGTCTCTTACTATGGCATAGAATCGTCTAGCTTTATTTATACGTATTGCATTTTTTTTATTTTACCTTTATTTAACCAGGAAGATTCACTGAGATTCAAAATCTCTTTTAAGAGAGTGACCTGAAATCAGTGATTTCTTGTTTATTGGCGACATTTTGAGGAATGTTGACCATTCACATGGATCTTCCATCATGACTGACCAAAGACAGCATATGTGTTTTTGAACAGACGTTTGCTATGGCAACGGTGTTAATTTTTCATCATTCTGAAAACCATGGATGTGAAACTGTTTTGTAAATGTTGTACGCTGTCAGCATACGACTCGTGACTTAAGTCTAAAGTTAAACATAGTTTTCTTTTATTTATTTGTATTTAATTAGTTCTATTGAAGTAGGTCTACAGTCTATGGCCTCTACATGTGTGCAAGTGTCTTTCACAAATGATTTCGAAAGATGCCAAAAATCAAAAGCAGTTGTAGTATGAATATACTTAAATATTTTGTTGCTGGTGGAGTAAACACTCGATGGCTAGATATTACAGTATTGTTGCCACAAAGCGGGAAGGATGAGAAAAGATTTCCGCTAGATAAAATAAGAAAAACCCATGGAGCTTCTTTAAAGGCACCAACTTTGACGTACCGTGTCACGCGCACTGGACGCACTGTAGCAGCTCGCGTGGTGACGTCACTCACAGAGTTGTCATGATGGCGTCTTCAGGACCGAAGCTGCTGTTGCAATTTAGCTAAGATCTGTCGACAGTCTTTATGCTAAAATGGAGAAAAATGCAAACTTGCAACGGGATTCCGAAGGCGCTGTTTTGCGAGCTTCAATTACAGGAGAAATGGGTGACGCCCCAGGCTTCGGTGGGATGAAGGGAACAGATGAGAATTACAAGAATAGTGAGGCTCCTCTGACTAGTTTGGTGAACGATAGTTGCAACAACAGATCCACAAATGCATCTGCTCTTACTATCGACGCTGTTGTTTCTAGTGCAGGGAAATGTGACGGACCAGGAGCGATTGGGCTCACAGCTGTACAGGAGGATACAAAGAAGGAAAGCGAGACGAGCGGACTCTCTTCTGGGTCTGGGGATCAAATCAGTAACGGGACGGGACACGACTTGATGCTGTCTGTTGAAGATAGCGAGGTTGGTGTTTCAAAGTTGGTAAACAAAAAAGCCGAAAGGCAGACATTACCCCCTACAAATGATGACACAGGGTGTCATCCTGAACTCGATGCTGCAGCTTTTAATGATGGTGGTGCGTCAAAACTTCCCAAACCAACTCGTCTGTGTTCGGACAACGCAATCACAGCAAAGTCTGCAGAACACACTTCACCAGAGCCTTTGCCCAGTGGGAGTGATCCAGACCCCAGTCTCGGTGGGGAGTCCCGGAGCATTGATTCTTTGGAGTCTTTTTCCAACCTCAACTCATGTCCAAGTTCTGATCTCAATAGTGAGGGGCTGGAGGATAGGGGACTAGCTCTGGCCCTCCAAAACGAGTTGGGGGCTGAGGGAGCAAAGCCTCCGTGCAAGGATCGGTCCGCTGGACAGTCCATATACCACATAAAATGGATCAAGTGGAGGGAGGAGAATACGCCAATCATCACACAAAATGAGAACGGACCCTGCCCATTACTCGCCATAATGAATGTCCTACTGTTGGCATGGAAGGTATTCAGATCACACTTACATGTGTTACATCCAACATATTTTATGCACTATGCATTCGTACCTTCTATACTTAACAATACAGTCATAAGCCTATAAAGTGTATAATGTAATTACAAAACATTTACAAGAGTTTCAAGTTATATCATTTGATCTTGGTAAATAACAAAGCATCCCATGCTACCATTTTATATTTATATGTTAAACACCATAATAATATTGTATGTTTCAGGTTAAGATGCCACCAATGATGGAAATTATAACTGCTGAGCAACTGATGGAGTATTTAGGTGAGCAAGAGCAACTTAACCTTACAACTTTTAAAACAGAAGCTTAAGTCTTGTTTTACTACAATTTCTCACTGTAAGTGCTCTATATTTAGCTTCAATTCAAATGTGTTTCCTACAAAATGTGTAGAAAAAGACTACAACATCATCTACTTACTGATAATATATTAATAGAAAGGAAGCAAGAATCATATCAGGTTTGTCTCCCCCCAGATTAGGTTGACTGGCATTGACATTGGTAGATAAAACTTTTTTCTCTTCTCTTCTCTTAGTTGATGTCTAAGATTATAACCTGATAGATAATACTTACAGCACATAATGTGCGGGATTCATTCAACATCTTTAAATTAATTATACATTATGAACATTCATACAGTTAACTGGTATAGCTAGTTAATTTGTGACTCTTTTTTTATATATACAGGAGACTACATACTCGAAACCAAACCAAAAGAGATCTCTGAAGCTCAGCGGCTAAACTATGAACAGGTGAGTTCAAATTGTTGTTAATTATTTTTATGTTTTTTGTTAATTATTAAAAAAAATCATAAAGTCATTTTTTTAATATTCTGATAGGTCACATATTTGTTATTATTTGCTTTATTTGATCTTTATATTTAACTATCAATAAATTCTCTAATCTGTCTATACTCACAGCTAGTTCCACATTATTCACAAATGTGTTCTCAGATTTGCATGTCTCTAACACAGAAGGTCGCCAACTGACCTGTAATATGCAAATGAACATAAGGCTGACTATAAGTGCAGTTTAATGATGCCTTTCCCTCTGCATATCAGTTACATAAGATAAAACTTGCAAAGCCTAGGGAACAACAGGGGTTAGGAATGTCAGATTATGTAGTTTCACATGGCTATAAATGCTTAGATACGCATGGGTGGGTTCCATGCTAGGCTATTACTGGCCTCTGTATGGCTCACCACAAGAGGTGCTGGCAGCTCAACCTCTCTTTATGCCTTACATCTCTCACTACAGTGTAGGTGTCCCATCTTTGCTGATTCTTTCACACAGAGCATCCAAACATCTGTTAATGATTGGTCCATTGTTTAAAAAAAAAAAAAAAAGAGAAGCTCAATGCAGTTTACTCATTGAAGATAACAGGTCTAAGTTGAACTGTCAGAAATGGTGGTGGCCTTACAGATGTACAGTAAAAATAAGAGTGGTTATGTGCATTCCATAACAACCATAAAAGTTGTGGCTGCCAGGAGGTAAAACAATGATGTTTTTTGTAAGATAATATAACAAATGCAGTGATGGTAAGAATACTTTGAAAATGTATTTGGTTACAGAATGCTGAGACCCAAATTAATTTCTGTAACATATTCTACATGGTCCAAGCAGTATTCTGTATACTAGTATAGTACAGTATTCTGAATACTTAGAATATTTTTAGACAAGTTGCATTATATTATAGTGTAAAAACATGATATATAATTATAAACAACATTATTTATGTTAGTATGCATTAATTATGTCTAATTTAAGATAGAAAAAAATCATCCATTCACACACTGAAGGAGCAAAATGTTCTATATTTCTCTCTAATAATGTGCAGTTTAAAGCAAAAATTACATGTTGAAATATTGTCATGTATTCCTTAAATTTAGGAAAGTAACTGTATTCTGAATAACACTAAATGAACAAATTAACTGTTCCAGAAAACTCACTATTAGTATTCAAAATATGTGTGTTTGATGCATGTATTCAGTTATGTCCTAACACTGAACAAATACTGGATTCAGCACAATCTTTTTACATACATCTATTTAAACAGCACCTAAAAAAAACATGGATTTGTCAGATTTAATATTGTTTCAGTAGAGTTTTCAGTCAGTAGCAGTGGCTCAGTGCAGGCTATTGTTGTGTTCTTGGGCAAGACACCATTTCTCCTACCTTGTTTATAAATGTAGTTTGTGTGTGTGAGTGATGCTTCTGTCAACATCTGGAGACCCCAGTGCATTATTATTATGCCATACGCACTTAATGTGTCCTGTAAAACAAAAGTACAATGTGTTATAAATCCGATCTGAATGTAGTGATCTAGTGCTAAAGCCCTCTGCCCTTAAATGAAGAGATATGGTCGATTACACAGGGCTGCTAATCCTTCCAGAGAGCTGCCCGTAAACACCGTAATCCAGTCTCTCATGTGCCAGATGAGGGCTTTTCATCTCTGTGGTTCAAATCTAAAGTAGCTTGGTTAACTGCTCTTTGTGTGGATTATAGTTAAGGAAAACATTAACTGAAGAAAAAAACGCTGCAATAATACAAATGTGTGAATTCATTTTAGAATTTGCATACATTATGAAAGTTTGTAGCTTCATTCTCTGTCACTGACTTTTGAAAGAGCCATTTAAATTTCCCTGAAAATGGTTGGGTCAAACTGACAAAAATAATATAGATTTAAAAAATATTAACAATCACATCATATCAGGACAAGTAAACTCAAAAGTGTATAAACGGTAGTTTTACAGTTGTTGTAAAAAGTCGTAAAAAGTTGTAGATGTATTATTTTATAGCAGTTTATGACCGTTTTCATATTTTGAAATTACTATTTCTATTTATCATGACCAAAGATCTTCCACCACTAATAGTATTACTTATATTATTATTTCTAGTGAACTAACAGAACAAAATTTATTGGCACTGACATAATAACAAGATACTAATGCTTTTAGAACGTTTGTTTATTGTTGTTATTTCTACTGCTGTATTCCAGAATATGAGTGATGCCATGGCAGTGTTACACAAGCTGCAGACCGGCCTGGATGTAAATGTGAAGTTCACAGGAGTGCGTGTTTTTGAGTATACCCCAGAATGCATTGTGTTTGATTTGCTTGACATACCTCTCTATCACGGCTGGCTGGTTGACCCCCAGGTAAGATGAAGTACATAAAGATTGTATGTTTTTATGTCCTAGATTTCTAAATGGTCTTTCTTTTATTGGTTTCTTTTTAGATGCAGGACATTGTCAAGGCAGTGGGAAACTGCAGCTACAACCAATTGGTAGAGAAGATTATATCGTGCAAACAGTCAGACAACAGTGAGCTTGCAGGCGAAGGTGAGAGCTGTCTTCAGCATGAATTATTTTTAACTTAAAACAGAAAAACTACATATTTTGGCATGTTTGAAGTGTTACGAACTAAAACATACTTACTGTAAGAATGTGGCCACTCAAACCATACACCTCAAACAAGTCGGCCCCTTGACCCAACAGTTCCTTAGTGGCTACAGGCAAAACAAAGTTATTGTGAATGTGCGAAAAACACTATCTGTATTTTTCCTTATTTTTGAGGTTTTGAAATTCAGTGCATTGATTTCTTTAAAGTACATAATACAATTAACAAAAACTATATCATCCAACATTAAAAATATATAATTGTAACAACCCTTCATAAACCTCTTGCGATCATTTTATTTTCATGTTATGTTTCTATCCACAGGCATTGTAGCAGAGCAATTCCTAAGCAGCACTGCTACGCAGCTGACATACCATGGTTTATGTGAGCTCACATCTACTGTACAAGAAGGAGAGCTATGTGTTTTTTTTAGAAACAATCATTTCAGCACGATGATTAAATATAAGGTAAGCAGCCTATGTACTAACCAGTGACCATGAGACCTATACTTTTTATTTAAAATTGGTTCTTGGAACTAAATGATGCTATGGGTTTTTGGACTGAAAACATTGGACATCAGTTACCACATCCTTGGATAGCCTCTATTGTGCCTTTTAAAAGTCTTAATATTATATTTTTCTGGAAATTATATGAGAAAAATTTGTGGAAAATTTTGTTTCGGAACCTCAGTGTGCTTTGACTATTGAGCTCCGTTTGAACAGAATTTTAGGGTGGGACAAACAGGTGCTGAAATCAATCAGAGAAATATGATGCGTACCAGTTAATTTCCTTAATGAGTACAGTTGGTAGATTACTTACAAATCCATAGCAGTGCAATAAAAAAAATCCCACTTCTGGTTTACAAAGAAATCTCTGGAGGAAATTAATGATGCAATATGTGACTGAATACAGGGACTAAAAGTCAATACTGAATACTGAATGTTGTTCTGGCCAGCCAGGTTACTACAGCTGGCCTTTTGTATCACTGCCACTGGGACAACAGCCCTTTCCTGTTATCTTCTGGAGAGGAACTGAAGGTTGCATGTTTTAGTTCAGTGTAGCTTCAATGCAAAGCTAGTGTTGCCAGTGTAAACAAAGCTGTACTGGACATTTCCTTAGAGGAATCTTTAATCCTCTAACAGCCTAAGATGTGATGCACATCTATGAAACATACCATGTGATATAAGTGTTTCTCTACAGGGCCAGCTGTACCTTCTTGTGACAGATCAGGGTTTCCTGACTGAAGAGAAAGTTGTTTGGGAGAGTTTGCACAATGTTGATGGGGACGGCAACTTCTGTGATTCAGAGTTTCGACTGAGACCCCCTTCTGATCCGGAGTCTGTTTACCGTGGACAGCAAGATCAGATAGACCAGGTTTGCACAAATTTAAATGGATTTGATCAAGATCTATGTAATATTAGAGGAATAGCACTGTGATATATCTGTCATACTGTACTTTATTTCTCTGGCACTCCCCCAAGTTAAAAGGAACTAAATCTATACCTCTGATCTGTTTACACTACTCCACAATTTGGATAGAAATTGTAATTATAATAAATATAAAAACATTTATATAAGTTTATTCCTGCATAAAAAGTACCATCAAGGGAAGCAACTGGATATTGACATTAGTGGCCACCAACAAATCCTTAACATGCATTAAAACTATTCCAAAAAATAAATAAATAATAATAACAACAATTATTTATTGTTTTCATTGGTTAGGACTATTTAATGGCGCTGTCTCTGCAACAAGAACAACAAAGTCAAGACCTTCAGTGGGAACAGCTACCTGAAGGCATCAGTGACCTGGAGCTGGCTAAAAAGCTCCAGGAGGAAGAGGATCGACGAGCTTCTCAGTACTACCAAGAGCAAGAGCAGGAGCAGGCTGCAGCAGCACAAGCACAGGTAACAGTTAATATATGTATGCATTTTCTGATAAGACATGGATACCAAGATACCACTTGTAAATGAGTAGACATTTATAAAACAGAAAATATAAACAGCATAATTTAAAAACTGTTATCACTACATGCTCCTAATACTTTCTATACAGGCATTTTTGACTGTATAAAAATAATAATTTGGAATAATCATGATTATGAGTTTTGCCACTATCTAGCAGCCCTAGTATAAGTGTTCACATGACAAGAATTAATATCTAAACAAGGAGCTTTTTTGAATTGCATCTTTCTGTGTTTTGCAGCAAGGCCAGCAGGTGCCTGCAGAAGGAGATGAAGCAGACAGAGGAGCAGGGGCAGCTGGTGCAGCAGCTAATACAGGCACTGTAGGCACAGCTGGGTCCACTGCAAGCCCAGGAAAACACTCCTATTCCGGGGACCGCAAATCAAAGAAAGAAGCAAAAGATAAGGACAAGTGTGTTATTTTGTAACATATGGCAGTCTCTGTCAGTGTGCAGTTCATTTGCGTTTAGCTTATCTGTAAGAAAGGAGCTTTTATGGTTTCCCCACTGTCTGGACACTAACCTACTTCCTGATTAAAATGGAAGAAGACAAATAAGGGGAAAAAGACAAGACTAACAGAGGATTTGCCGTTTCCAAACCACTGGTGCCTGCAGTCCTCAATCCTGATGCAAACTGGACATCGGAAGAAGAGACACTACAACAACTACCCTTTCAATTTTGTAGAGTTGTCCCAAATTTAACAGTGTACTAATATTTACGAAGTATTTATGATGACTCAATTAATTTGAGATCATAGATTATTTTATCTCTTGTAATCATAAACAACTCACATCTTGGCTACATTTTGCTCATATATTTCTTTTTTCCTTAAGCAGCTTATAAGCTAATTATATTTATCCTATTGACTCAACATATTTAGCTGACATTTTTAAATTGCTGCCAACAATTGTTATTAATTTATGTATGTGTAAACATCTTGAAAAAAGTTATGCGCCAAAAGGGATATATTGTATACCATTAGAAGGAAAGAACCCCCAAAAAACGCATTATTTTAAATCTATTTCCTGAAGGGAATGCCTGAGCAGCCAATATATGTAGGTGTTCAACAGTTGTCCTGAGCTTAAGTTTATATGTGCTTTACCAGTGTCTTGGTATAGCATTCTGCATTGAGAAAGTTTGTTTGTTATGTACAATTGTATGCTGCAACCACAAATGTTTTTATGTATCAGCCATTAGGTCTGTCATTTCTAATCTAAAATGTAAAGAAAAGAAAAAAACTGTAGTTGAAACAGCCAAATGCAGCACATTTAGCCTCTTTAAACCTCCCGGGATAGTGGACTGTGCCACTGAGACTTTGTATACATTTCATATGAATAAGACTTAAATTAAAGGAGTGAATGGAAGAAAAGCAGCTTTTCACTTGTTCTAATTCCCCCTTTTAACACCAATACTAAGCAGAAATGTGTACCTTGTTCCATCTTGCAAAATTTCACATCTTAATCTGGGTTATTTGACACAAAATCTGAATCTTGCATGAGGTGCACATTCCATTGTTTGTTTTTTTTGTTGTTGTTTTTTTCAGTACAAGTCATTTTGGTTTTGGGTCATAACATTTTGACTGCCTCTTGAGAAGATTTTCTATACATTCCATTTGGATGCCTTGACTCAAACCTAATAAAAATGGATGTTTGTCAGTTCCAGTAGAAGTTACACAGAGGCAGCAACTTGGTCTTTGTAATGGTACAATCTATCTATTTGAGGCTTGATAATGTATAAACGCCTTACTACATTTCAACATATTTTATAGAAATATACATATTCACAATGAGACAATCCATAAACTCTCACAGAAATGTAAATGAATACTCAGGCCTTTTCTGTGAGGGAGTTTTATGTACTTGACTTTTTCAAATATTAGTGGTGGTAGTTTATTGGCCTGTAGTTACTTTCAGAGCTGTATGCGCACCAGGCATTACTAGTTGATCATTTACTGTCTTACCATTGTACTGTGTATTTCTAACTTCACAAATAAAAATAGACTGTGCGTTCCTGAAAGGTTTCAGTGTTGTTGGACAGTAACGTTGATATTTCTCCCATTGATTTTTTTCCCAATGGATCTTTCACCTCGTATTTTGAAATTTTTTGGAGAACATTCAAATGTTTCTCATGAAAATATAAATTTGATAATAGTTCTTAACTTGTGAGTGTGAAGTGCTTCTATTGTAATTCTATGCTGCACTGAGATCTTAGACAAAGGCAACTGAGAAGCCCAGTACTTTGCTGCAGCTAAACTTGAATTTCCCTCGGGATAAATAAAGTATCTATCTACCTTGCTTAGTTACTTTGGGATTTTGGTATATCATTTTTGTTTTTCAGCCATCCAATACTTGACCAGAAGGATGTTTTGTGTGTTAGTGATTATGGAGTATTGTGTTATTGAGTTAGGTGGACAAGATGATTGTTGAACATAGTGCTGTATTGAGTTTCCATGACTTTTGCAGTAACAAAAGTTAAATATAAGATGAGCTATAATAGTATGGCTTTGTATCTTTTAAAGTGTTAAAACAGAATATTCATGCTATTTCAATGCTACATTCTTCAAATGAGGAAGGAATCCTTGATGATGATGAATGTCTGCTGTCTCATCTTCCAATTGAGTCATGCATGTAAAAAGGGTTCTTTGATGCATGTTGTAACTGACTTATACCTAAATAATTGCACAATCCAGTTACACATCTTATTTTTAATAATTGGGTGTTCATTTAAATATGACCAAATAGTGCTCAGTCTTTTACCTTAGACACAAAATGTATGATCTATATATAACAAAATGCCTTATACACTTAGGGTCATTTAACCTTATTAGATAAAAGTATCAAAACATTTCTCGTCCGTCTTGATTACAAAAATACACAAATGACAATTATAAGACAACACACAGAAAAATGGAACAGAAGTCTGTATTTAGTAGCATAATTTCACATACATGGACTAAGGGTAAAAACATGAAATGTTCAATGGTTGTGCGGCATTTGGCTTGTGAAATCTCTATTCGAGTTTATCAGGAAGATCTGACTTATTTACATGCAATACTAACTGACAAGCTAAAGCATACCACAAACAGTTGGGTTGTAACATTGGCCCACTGATCTTTACTCCTTGTACTGGTGAACATTAAATGACAAAATCATATTGTTCTTAAACCACAGTAGGTAAAGCTTTTAGCTCATGTATGTTAAGACCAAAAAATGTTGTTTCAAAAGTAAATGCCACTGACTCAAATGTCAATAAGATACTAAACAAGTGTCTATATCATACATTAAATAAAGACATTGACAAAGTGTAAGGTACTAAAAATACACTCAGATTTATGATATTACTTACAAACACCCACAGCTGTACAACATCACAGAAGTAAAATTATGCAGTTGATTTTTAATGTTAACAGCAAAACTGCCCAGAGAGTCCTACACTGAGGTACTTCCAAAATAAAAATGTGAAACACCCGATGGCAACTTAAATGCCACTTAAAACAGTTGGCATAAAAATTAAATTAGGATAGCTCAAAATATGAGAAAAAAAGTAAATTGTCATTAGTATCGCTGTGTTGTTTTGAATTGTTTAAATCCACCCACGTTTCCTCCACTTGAAAGGGAGTTGTTGGTGATCTGTACAATTCGATTCATTCCAGAGGAGTGACTAAAACGGGAAGAAAAATCTTAAGAAGTGGCAGGCACAAAAAAGGCAAGTCAATGGTCAGAATTTAATAATACCTAGAGGGTGGAGCCATCATGCTGCTCCGAGAGTCCCCCATTCTCCTGTTCTCAACAAAGCCGGCACTTTGGGAGCCAGCTCCACTATGCCATTCTTTTCTCAAGCCCTGATCTCTGTTTTGACGCTCAACAACCACCTGACGGCCGGAGCTAAAAGGCTGTGGGGGGGGAAAAGTCACCTTTGAGCTTTTTATTTAGCAATAAATAAGAAAACTTTGATCATGATGACAACTTACTTGTTGGTTCATGACCATAGGTCGTCCATCTCGATCATTAAAGTTTCTACCATGGGTGCCAGCAGAGCCCCCTCGTACTGCAGGTCCTGGGCCATCTCTGCCAGGACGATCGTCCCGCATACGCATAGTTCCACTGTACAAAAAATGTGGTTCACCAAGAGCAATCAAGTATAAAAGCACTATTTGATTAAAGAAATATTTACCGTAGTTCTCCCTTGTTAACATTCATGCCGCCATCATTCTTCCATCCATGTACACCATCTCTGGGTGAGCGATTATGTGACATACCAGGCATTGGGGCTCTAGCTCCCATCGGACGATCATGCATGGGCACTGGCCGCCTTTCATCTCTGTCCCTGCGATCTTTATCCCCTGTACGCGAGGAAGGTTCACCTCTCCCAACTGAGTCAAAGTCTTTTGGATAGCGATCAAAACCAGGGCGATTTTTCTTCACAGGTGGTTCACCATCAAATCTGTTTCTCCTTTTTCAGAAAGATTCATCACAAATCAGTTTTAAAAGGACATAACAAAGGACAATTGTATTGTACACTTAAAAAAAAAAATAAAATCAGGTACTGATATTTATTTACACACGTTGTGTTTCTATGCTTTTTGGCAACATTAGATTTACACCCTGAAGACTGATGCTTACCATAGTTACTAATCTAGCCTAACCTTAACCTAGCACATATATTACTGATTTTTGTCCCCATGAAACGACTGTGTAGAGATTTTAGTCGCCACAATGTACACACACACAAATGCAGTACCTTTCAAATGAATGCTGCTCTGAAGCCTCTGGGAAGCGGCCCCTTTCTCTGGGATTGTTGAACGAGTTGCTAAATCTGTTTTGTTGACGGTTGTAATTCGAGGCTTGGTTCAAACGAACATCCTCTGATTGGATTTTCTTGTTTCCATTCCAATATTGATCATCTCTACGGCTGAAAGGTAACAACCATTAAAATACTTGCATACAGCCTGCACAAATATCTAAAACCTATTAATTTACCCATGTTCTACTTCTCGCCCTCTTTTCAGGTTATTCCTCTTTTCTTGCTCATAGCGAAGCTGCTCATGCTGCCTACGCAGTTCCTCACGTTCACGGGCCAATCGCTCAGCTTCTTTTCGCCGCTCCTGAGGGATTAATATGAAATTACTTTATCGTTAAAACTAAAGGGGAACTTTTCATGACTTACCTGCTCAATGCGAATTCTCTCCCTTTCAAGTCTTTCCCTTTCAAGGCGTTCTCGTTCCAGTTTTTGCCTTTCCATCTCAAGTCTCTCTCGCTCCCGTAACAGGTTCTCTCGTTCCTGGCGTTCACGTTCTCGTTCTCTACGTGCTTGCTCTGCTATTTGGCGCCGCCTGGAACAGGTTAAACACTTTTGTAAAAATAACTCTTGATAACTTGTAAATGCTGAATGTTTACCTTCGAAGCTCCTCGGCTCGACGGGCACGTTCCATGCGTTCACGCATTCTTTGTTGTTTCATCTTTTCAAATGGAACAATTTCTTGATCTTCTCCCCTGTCTGGAAAATCTGTTTGTTTGCTTTTCATAAGTTCTAGCTGAAGGAAAAAATATATATATACACAAAGTAAGAAAAAATTTAAAATAAAAACATAAATAATAATAATATGAATACCTCTTCAGGAGGAACCAACCATTTTGGCCAACGTTGTATATTGTTAAATGGCTAAACAAATAAAAGGATAAAAAAAACAATAGTATAAACACAGGTCAAACAGGACTGAAAGTAGAGCTAATTTCATTTGTTATTTCAAACCTTGTCCACATATCTTCCTTGTCGGAATGGTCTCATTTTGTTGTAATCTTTGTTGTGACCCACACCAGCCATTTTTCCTGGACTTCTAGTTCCTTAGGGGAAACACATTTTTATGATTGCACCAATCTCCAAGTATGTGAAATGCAACAGTTTTATTTTTATACAAATAAGAAAACAACTTACTGCTGTGCTTCCTATCATCCTTTTTTGGACACTCTTGACTTGAGCTTGAAGTAACTCCATCACCAGACTTTCCACTTTTAACATCTTGTTTCTTGGAGAACTCTTTGTCCTTGTCAGAGGATTTCTTGTCTTCCTTTTTGTAAGACGTTTGTGTTCTATTAATAGGGAAAAAAGAAAGCTTTTGCTTTGAGAGCTCTTTTAATAATGACTGGAGGCTATCGAACACCTACTTGTTGGTTGTTTTTGCACCAGTTGAACTGCGCTTATCATTTGATTTGCTCGAACTGTTTTTATCTTCTTCCTTCTTTGCAGGATCTTTTTTAAACGGATCATTTTTTGCCTACAAGAAATACATGTTAACATCTCACAAGTATGTATGTTTTTTGTTACAATTTTGATATTTTCTACCTTACCCTTTCAACATAGATCTGTTGTCCATGGAGTTCAGTGCAATCAAGATGTGAGATGCATCGTGTCACCTCTGTACTTGATGACATAGTTACCAAGCCATAGCATTTTGACCCTGGACTCCGAGCATTTGTTACCACTTTGGCACTCAAAACCTGTTAGGTAAAATTGGGTAAACAAAATTTCTCCAATGCAACATCTTTAATGTACTTAATAGTTACCTTGCCATATTTTCCAAACAGATTTTTGAGATCTGCTGCCTTGGTATTGGATGACAAACCACTGACCCATAAATTACGTGAAAAGCTGCCACCGCTGACCAGTCCTACAAAGTCATTAGTAACTTTGTCACATTGTGCATAACTAAATATTTCACTGAAAATTAAAGATTCTTTACCCTTTTCATCCACTGAACCTTTTCCGTCACCATCTCTAGTGCTAAAAAACAAATATTCCAACAAAAACATAATATTAACAGTAGTTGTTTAAATTTAGTTTGACACAACTATTTGAAAACAGTACAGGGCAACCCTGCAAACTTGAGGCTGATAAGAACCAATGTCTTGCTTTTCCAGTGGTGAGATGGATCATGTCAGCCAATTGACCAATGATATCTTCAGAAGTTATTTCAACTTCTCAGTAAAACCTTTGATAAAAGCCCCAAACAAAAATCACCTGATGGTTTAGTTTTCGGCTTCTGGACAAAATTTAACCTTGTTCAGTAAAATACACACAGGGCAGGACTAGGTACATCAGTGAACATTCCCCTTAAGAAAAAAAAATCTTGAGGCTAACCCACAAAGTTGTGTTCTTAATGAGGTGGACTTGGTAGTAGAATCAAAGAACTGACATAGAAAGACAAACCTCTTTGCTTGACCTGCCCCAGTAGAAGAGGGGCCTTTCCTCCCAGAATCCTTTTCTTTGTCTCCGCTTTCAGCTTTCTTCACAGCTTCACCCTTGGATGCGTCATCCTTCTTACCATCTCTGGGGCCGGCCGTCTCATCTTCTTTGGCATCATCATCATCATCATCATCATCATCATCATCAGGGCCCATCTCAGCAGAAGGCCCTGGTTCATCAGTGCTCTTCTCTGCCTCTGAATCTGGAAGTTTCACATGTTTACCTGTGTCCAGGAGATCATCACCATCTACATCTAAGGTAATGGCATCTTCATTCTGCATTGAGACCGACAAGTGATCATCCTCTGCCTCCTTAGAGGATGGCACAGTGTCTTCTTCCATATCAGCCAGATCTGTCTCATCTGGGTCCGCATCCCCTAGCTCAGCTCCCCCGTCTGGGTCATCTGCATCAGCTTCTAGATCCAGATCAGGCTCAGGCTCAGGCTCAACCGCTGCCTCTGCCTCAAGCTCCGGGTCCGCCTCCGGCTCCACCTCTGGTTCAAGGTCCAGGTCCACCTCTGGCTCAGCTTCCCCCTCTGGCTCAAGCTCAAGCTCAAGCTCCGCCTCTGGCTCTGGCTCACGCTCCGCCTCTGGCTCTGGCTCACGCTCCGCCTCTGGCTCTGGCTCAGGCTCAGGCTCCGCCTCTGGCTCCGCCTCTGGCTCAGGCTCCGCCTCTGGCTCAGGCATCTGGCTCAGGCTCCGCATCTGGCTCAGGCTCCGCATCTGGCTCAGGCTCCGCATCTGGCTCAGGCTCCGCATCTGGCTCAGGCTCCGCATCTGGCTCAGGCAGTCTCTTCTCCTCTGGTTCTGGCTGATGCTCAGATACGGCTTCACCCTCAGTCATGTGGTCATCTTCAGACTCCTTCTCACAGTCACCATCTGCCACCACGGTGGGGTCTTCAGTATCAGGTTCTCGTTCAGGTTCAGTCTCTGAATCACCCATGGACTCTGGCAGGGCCTCACCGTGGACCTCAGCTTCAGGCTGAGAGAGGATGTCCTCTGAAGGTGCGGGCTTAGAATTGTCACGAGTACCATCGTCTGTATCAGTAACATCTGAGGGATTTAATAAGGATAAACATGGCAAAAAAACATCTTTTAACACACATGCCATCACTTGACCTAAAAGTAGAATAGAAAGCACATTTAGCATTAATGGTCATCGAGGGCGTAGACATCACATGGACACAAAACAAACAATCTTCACTGAATTTGAAGCCATCTTCACACCTACAGAATTCTGGTCACATTTGGTACAAAATGTGCCATGATAGGTGCTTCAGTGTCTCAATAACTTTCCAAAATGAGCTTATGATATCTTGAGCTGAGTACTCCACGAGTAATGAAAATTAGGAGTTTTTGGAGGAAAAAAAAAAAAAGTCCATTTCCACAAATCAATGCGCGTCAGTGGTTTAGCAGTAGATTTTTCAGTGCTTTAGGAAACCAAACATGTTTGAGCAAATTCATCTGTGCACAGTACATATGAACATGTGCAATAACGAAGTTTCCTCTTGGAAAAGGTCGGCCACTTTAATCTTCTTGAAAAGTACTTGCAAGGCTCCAAGGTGGTTCACTGAGTGTCCCCAGTCTTAGTAGAGTATTAATAAGACCAACCCCTTATCGCGAGTGCAAAGCTCTTGAGTTGATGGGGTAATGTCCGGCCCTATTGAGTAATCGCTCCACCTTAACCTGGTCAATCTGATAGTTGAAAAAGATTTGCATCCTTGTGTTGACTGAGTCTTTGTGAAATATAGAATGTCTGAAAATGAGCCACATGACATTCATTATATTATCTGGTGATTGAAATGGTGGCACATGGGGTAACAACACAATCTAACGATGAGAGTTGTTGCTGGTCCAGGTGTTATGGATGGAAAAAAAAATGCAGTTTCTTGTTGGCAATGAGAGAAAACTATATATAAAAAGGACAACATTCGAGATTATAAAAAATACCAATCTCCACAAATATAAAAATATACATTTGTGTGTATTTAGGGGTGATCTTTTATAGATACGTGGTCAACAGTTCAAGGAGCTATAGTGTAAACACAAACGTCACTAGTTTACAAATACACATACCTTTTTCTGACTCACATTCCTCTAATTCCTGAAAAAAAGTCACAAATTATTTGTATAGAGACTGTTATATATTATCTTGAATAAAATCAGCATTTACTTTCACCTTAGAAGACGCATCGTCTTCAAAAGTCACGTCCGCATCTGAGTCAACTTTTCTGCCTGTGAAATTAAGTCTCATTAGAACATGGTAAGATATACCTTAACTCCAAACTCTTAAAGAAAACCAACCTTTAGCTTTTCCACCCTTACGAGTTGGAGTATCCGCAGACTGGATTTCAATGTTGTTTGGGTCACCCCCTTCATCTTCAATAGCCTTGAAATTGTAAGTGTTATTGCTTTGTGTATACACATTCGTGCAGGGTTGTGTGATTCCTTAACATAATAATGCACTGAACAAAACAAAAAAGGACAATTCCCAGCGCTAAAATGACGACTAACTTCGACTACCTTTAAGAAATGTCGTTACACATCTATAAGCTTAATGAAGCAAATGCGTATAACTGGCTCTACAGTTAGCTTAGCATAGTCGTTGCATCGCTTCTTTGGTATTATTAGCTGGTCAAAGAGCTCATGAGTTTGTTTTACCCGCTTACCTCCTTAAGTCTGGCAAGCAGGACGCTCTTAACACCCGAAGTGTCCAAATTCCTCCGCCTTAATTCGGATTTCAGATCAACAACTCTTAATTCTGATATTTTCTTCAATTCTGTGGAAATGGCACCCGACGCCATTTTACTCAGATTAGTGCAGTCTGCTTCGCATGCGCACAACACTCTTTTCGAGAGGGGCTTTCTTCGTCATCTTTATTTTTCATGTGTTTCTTATGCGCCACCTACTGATTTTTGTTGGTATTCCAAAAACTATACAACCACATCAATTTCCATTTTCCAGTGGGTGCCTATATACAGATAATAGGTCTAAATCTGGACAAGTCTAAATTAGATAGGCTATTGGATAAACCACCACTTTAAAGCAGCTCTAAACCATATAGGTTTTAATAATAATAATAATAATAATAAAAAAAACACCCATAAAGTGTAATAGGACAGTGGCGAAGCCCAGTGGTTTACTACCTACCACGCAGTTTAAGAAATTTAATTAAAAACTGTATTTTTATTTACTTACCAAGTAACATAAGATTCGCTGAAAAATGCTCAGTGTGTACTGAATCAGTGATTCTGAATGTGATCGGTGTAGTTTAGGTAACTTTAGGGTGCATACCACAGATATGATTATACTTCCATCGTGCGTACAGAGGATTCTAAAAAAGTGGAGAAAGTGACTGAAGAGTCGACAGCTAACTAGCGCCCCTTGTGTGTGTCGTAGAGGCAGACTGTGTTGTACCAGTCGAGCTGCTGCTGCTCTGGGCTCTGGGTAAACAACAGCGGATACCTCGGCCAGCAGGAATGGGAACTTCGTCGAGGGATAACAGTGAGACATTTCTTCTTGTCTGTATAAATATAGGCAAGATTTAGGTAAATCTTCATATGTGGAGCCAAATCACTATAAACCTGAATATTTTAATGTAAACTGGTATTTGTCTTGTGAAATGGAGCTAGCCTTGTGTTAGCTTAGCTCGTAGCCGTCTAGGGCCCCGCCACTGCTTTGCTATGCTCTTCTCTAGTCGGGACTGTGTTGTCAGTTTCACAATTCCGAGCAGGCAGCTCGGACGTCGGGTCGTATTTTGTCCATGGGCTTTCTAATATATTGATTAACATGCTAGCATGTTGTTTTTTAAACGCTTAATGTAATTCCAACGTTGTTTGTTACAGAAAGGACGATGACACGTATTGCCAAAAGGACTTAAAGTCAGGTATGTGCTGTCTTTGTTGTCCTGTGGCTCGGCTAGTGGGTTACTTGGTTTAAGATGCTTGTGTAGACTAATAGACCATAGTTTTAGTCCTCATATAATAATGGGTTGTCAGTAGGGTGATCGATTTATTTGCCGTGAGAAATATCCAAGAAAATGACACGCTATAACTATGCAAAATGGGGTCATACTATTGCCCGCTTAACTATTTAGATAACCATCCTCTCTATTTTGTTTTCTAAATCCAGCTATGCTACACATTCCTCCTCTAGTTATTATTTCAATTTTTTTTATGTAATGTTGTTTTAAATTATTGTCACAAGTGTTACAAAGATTTTATATATTCTAACTTTTTTTTTTCATTTTAGTGATGCAGTGAATGGATACTTGAGCGCTGATGCACGCAAATTAGGTATTATCCTCCCTCTGACATACGTGTCACCATGAAGAGTGAGGTGCCATCGGAGGCCCCCAGCAGGCAGGAACAGCTTAAGGAGCCCCTGGTGAACCCAGTACCTATAGATGCTGCAAAGGACTTTCCTAATAACTTGGAAATGATTGGAAAGGCAGCCAACGAGTATGCAAATCTTTGTTCTGAATCCAGACATAGACCCTTGAGAGAAAGTGGTGCCCATAGGGACTCGGAGCGCAGCCTTCCTGGTCGTAGGAAAAGAAAAGGACAGCAAGCAGGGCCTTCAGACTGTTCACTAAAGGAAGCTAATATTAGTGAAAACTCACTTGCCCCACAGCGGCCCAGGGTTGAACTTTTACAACAACCCAGTGAAGATGACCACAATCACGAGTCATCTTTTAGCGACTGCATTTCTTCACCTTCCTCCAGCCTTAGGTTTGGAGACTCGGACACACTCAGCTCTGAAGATGAGGCAGAAACTGGAGCAACAGGAAGCCAGCAAAAGCCTTTGACCTCTGGGGGAGCATCTGAAGTTGGTCTGCGCCCGATAATTGGTCGAACTCGAGCTAGTCGCGCACATAAATGGATCCGTCCGGAGGCAGAGCCGGTGCTGTTGAAACGGCAGTGTCTCAGCAGCCGCCGTCCTGTACATAGAAAACGGTACGTTAAAACAATTCCTGGAGGGGCCCCACGAACTCAAAAGCAAAAAGAGAGATTGCTACTGCAGAGAAAAAAACGCGAAGTGATTGCACGCAGGAAGTATGCTTTACTTCACAGCACTAGCAGCTCCAGCGAGGAGCTTAGTAGTGACTCCTCTTCTCCATCCTCAACTGAAGCAGAGGATGAACTCTATGTAGATGTGAGCAGCACGAGCAGCCAGCCAAACAGTTCTGCTGTAGCCCCAGGTAAGAAGCTATAAAGCATAAGCAGACATAATTTTTCTTTATCTAAAGCACAGAATTTTTTTTATTTTGTTTTGCTGAGCCCCACTAAGGCATGAAAACCTAATCCAAATTCTTTCTCAATGCCTTTTATGAAGATGAGAGTTTTACTCATATATGTTTTTCATTCTAGTTTGACACATATGAAGAAGGTGTATTGACTATTACCATATCACCATAGTGTCTTGAGACAAGTGGGTGCTAAGCAGCCGTTCTCAGGAGATAGACCGCAATAGAAATCAACTGGGAAATGTGGGCTCATGATGGGAGTGATGCTGCATTCATGTGATCTCTGAAACTCGGAAGATACGACCTCCAACTTAGAAAAATATGAATGAATGCAACTCGGAAACTCATGCATAAGCGTTGGACTCCATATTCCTGAGTTTACGTTAATGTGACAGGAGTCAGTTTGGGATTGGAGGACATCACCATGATTAGGATTTTGTTTCATATCATGTGGATGGATGTACTTCACAAATGAAACACATTTAACACAAAATTTTGCTTTATATTGCAATGAATGAAGAAAGAACTCAGTATTACAACTTTGCTAAAACATCCTAAACAATTTGTTTATTTGCGATTTGCCTACAAGAAGCAACATGTACAGTCACACAAGTCTCTGTTACACAGGGTTTTTTGTACATCTTTCCAATGAATCAGCAAAGATAATCAAGATATGCAAAAATGATCTTGAGAAGACGTATTAATACATAGTTGTGTAGTTTTTGAGATCACAACGCAGCATCAGTACCTCATCTTGGAAAATAACAACTGACTACTGTCCAATTGATCATGGCCAAGACTAAAAGAAAGTATTGTTATGAGCTGACACCAGGGCCAAATCATCTTCTGGAACTAGATACAGTTGTGGACAAGTGCTCTATTCTCATCATACATCAACAGGAAATTTACATATGAAACTGTAACATTGCTTCAAGAACCTTGAAGGTATAGTTGATAGGAAAGTTAACCTTCTTAATTTTAATTTAAGGATTTGAATAAGATTATATTGCCACTGTCATATAATGAAAATAGAGTATCATCTTTTGAACAAATTAACAAAATTTTGATTATGGCAACACTGGTTACAAATTAGTGTGTAGGTTATAGATATTTTATTTCTTTATGTGTGGTGAAAACTTGTTTTTGTGTTGAGGTGTTCTTGATGAAGATGTGGTGGTGATTGAGGCCACTCCAGCTACTGCTCCTGCCGTTCCTGCCAGTGAGGAGATCAATGTCACTTCTACAGACAGTGAGGTGGAGATCGTTACTGTTGGAGATGGGTTCAGGTTTGTTTTATCAGGATTTTTATAAATCATGTTTTTAAACTATAACATGGTTACTTGTGGCATAGGCATCATTGCTATACTCTACAAAGCAATGCATAGTTCTAAAACCAGGATAACCAGTGATTTAATTTAATTTACAATGCCTCTTTTTTTTTGACCTCCTATTTATCCTTATTTATAGCTATAGCATAATAATAAACAATTTATCAATGTAATATTATTTATGTAGTTTAGTTTAATCCTTTAATCCTTCTTAAAGGTCTTTGAGTTTAGAATGGAGTGATACATTGCCATTGTCCACAGCCCTGCAGTATCTTTGCAAAATCACAACCTGACTTTTATTGAAAAGTTGCTCTTTAGAATTTGTATCATATAGATGTATTCAGTCTCAGTTTGGTAGCAAAACCATATTTAAATGGACAAAACCATATTTAAAGTCCATATTTTGGAAATAGGACCTCATTTCCTAATTAACCAGAGTGTTGGACACGTGTGGCGACACTTTTTAAAATATGCTATCCAGTCCTTCTATTTGCATTCACTGGTGCTAGGCTAGCACATGTCAACGGCCATAGTTAGCCTACCACCAATTATAACGCCAGGCTGTCGATGTGAGTGTCTGTGTCAATAGAATAATGTTAGAAGTAAAACCAACCTTACATATGAAGGATTTCTCTA